CGCCGCGGGCAGCAGGAAAAGCGCCCCCGCCCCGTAGACGTGCAGCTCCCAGGCGAAGCTCAGCACCCGCCGCAGCGGACCCCAGCGCAGCGGGGGTGAGGTGGCGTTGGCTGGGGGGTTGGCGGCCGGGGCAGGCGCCCAGGAGCTGCTGGCTGAGGGATCCGGAGGCAGTGGCTGCGCCAGGGCGCGCTGAGTGGTGACCCGAACGAGGCCGCGGCGGGATGTGGAGGGGGCCTGCACTGGGGGTGCCGGGGGATGGCTTTGAGGGCGCCCCGGCCATTCTTCCGCTTCCTCTGCAAGAATAACAATGTTAACGCGACCCATCGGGAAGTGGTTTGGCTTTCCAGCCATTCCTCAGTTGTGTGGTGGGCCGTTACTTAGCGTCCTCCTCCGCAGGTCCATCTGTAAAATGCGGATGTCAGGAGGGTGTGGGGAGGACTAAATGTATGGTTGGGCAGTGGCCGATACCCAGTAAGTGGCAGCTGAGCGCTATCGTTTTTTATGATGAATACTTACAGGGAAAAGGCACTCCCCGCGCTCTCTAAATGGCTGTGTACTAGACTCACCTGGAGACCAACCGGGCGGAATTTCTTGGGATGGGGCTTAGGCATTCAAACACATTTTTCAAGCACCTCTAGAGATTTGTGCGAGTGGAGAATCACTGCACTAAACACACCCAGGACACATTAGCCCACAAAGGGCAAATGGCCTTTTTCAAAGTACCAGCTAAGTATTCATTTATCCTCCTCAAGTCTTTGAAGGTCATCCTGGCCAACTTCCTCTAAGCAGGTTCTCAGTTACCCTCCCTGACCTCACAGGTGGAAAAACACTTGCTATGAGAAATGGGCCAGGATTCCCCGTGCCACCCCCCACATGGTGTAGTGAGTTTTGAACCGAGTTGCTAACCACAAGGCCTGTGGTTCGACCCACCACCTGCTTCATGGGAGACAGATGGAGCTTTCTACTGTTGGAAAGAGGTACAGTCTCGGTTCTACTGTCCTATAGGGTCGCTATGTGCATGTGGGAACAGACTCGATGGCCGCAAGTTTGGCGTTGAGTTTGGGGCCCACAAATGTATACCCAACACAGGCTCTTGGTTCTTAGACTGCTCCCGACCCACAAACTCTCAGCCATGCCCTCACCTGGTTGCAAGGCTTCCACAGTGTTCTCTGTTCGGTTTGTAGCTGTGCCAGGTTCCAGGGGGCCAGACATGGGATACTTGAGGGTACCTGGAGTCTCCACTGCCCCTCTGACTCGCTGCGGGGAGACAGGGTCTGCTCCGTTCATCACTACAATCTCTGAAAGGAGAAGTTGACCCCATCACCTCTGCTGGCCCTGCAGTGGTCCCCCCCCCCCCCCCTGCAATCTGATCCCCTGGGAAGGAAGCTCAGTCCCCCTTGTTTGCCAGAACATGGAGAAGGAGACCCAGAGGGACCAAAGGCCACTGCAACTGGGCACCTAGCTACCTTGGAACACTGCCCCACCCCAACCTGCTCAGCACCCTCCCTTTGATACCTACCTCGCTTGGGCTGTCCATCTGGAGCCTCTGAGGCTGGGGGTCCTGAGGGCTGGGGTCCAGGGGAAGCCTTGAGCGGGGAGGCTGGGAAGCTGGGCTGTCGGGTGTTCTCAGCCCCAGCCTTCTTGGGGGGCTCAACCGGCAGCTCCTCAGCAGGAGGAAGGCTTCTGGCCAGAGCCAGGTCGGACTGGGCCCCCGGACCCTCAGAGGATGGCCCCTCAAGTGGGGATACTGAGCCACCATCAGGGGCTGCTGGATCCTGCTGGGTAGAGAGGGGGCCTCCAGCTGCCTCCTGGAACCCTTCCCCTTCTCCCCACTCTCCTGTCAGGACGGGCCTGACAACGCCCCACTGGGGACCAAGAGTGTGCGATGAGCCCTGACGGTCCAGGTGGTCAGTCTCTGGAGCCCTGATCTTGGCCTCATCCATCAGGCTCCCGTCTCCCGGTGCTGGTTTCCCTGCCTGCGTGCGGGGCTCCCCTGTGGAGGGGGGAACCTTGACTTCTTCCAGTTGTTGGCTGGGAGTTGTCGGCATGAAAGTGAGATGAGGAGGTCCCATTGCATAGGGGGCCCGTGCTTCTGGCTCCGGAGATTCCGGAGGATCAGGAGGCCCTGTCCATCCCTGAGAGCTTGGCCCTGGAGCTGCCTGCAGGGAGTCGGTGACCGCTGAGAGTCCTGCTCTCTGAGCCTGAGGGGCTGCTTGGGGCCCGTGCAGGGCTGGGCCCAGGGGAATGTCTGCAGGCCTACCAGGCACCTCGTTGACAGGAGCCCAGGGGATGCCTGAGTTCCAGGAGTGCTCATTTCTGGACTTCTCCCAAAGGACGTCAAGGGCCTCGGGCTTGGTGCTCGTGGGGCCTTTGGGGTGAGCTCCTGGAACTGGGTGTGGCTCTGAGGTCTCAAGAGGCCTGGAAAGGGCAGGACCGGCTTCCAGGGGCGGTGGCAGCAGCAGCAGCAGCAGCAGCAGGAGGAGGCCGCACACTTGGGGGGTCATGGTTCACACCAAAGCTGTGCCTGGACCCTCAGCCCAGTGCTCACAGGAAGAGCCTGGAAAAGGGCAAAAGGGGATGACGTGTGAGCCTGGGGGCCTTGTGGCTGTCCCAAAGGGGCCGATGGGGAAGGTAGAAGACTAACATGAGGCAGCAGCTACCCCGGCCACACCGCCTCCCTTCTTGCTCCATCTGCCCAGAGCGACTGTGTACAACTGCACCCTGGTCAGAGCTCTTGTCCTGCTTCAAAACCCACAGTGGTGCCCCGGTGTCTACGGGAGAGAATGTAAGCTGCTCCCCTCGCATTCGCCTTCCAAGGCCACACCAGCCTGCTCACGGAATCCTCTCCAACACCCACTGGACTACCTGACACCGCAGGCCTTGGCTCCTGTTAGGCCCTCAGCCTGAAATGCCCTCTCCCTTCTCCTCCTTGGCTCGCTGAAATCCTATTCTCCAAGGCCCGGCTGGCTCGGATATCAGTGAGGTGCACAGTAAGTGCAGTGTGCTCCTGCATGTGAAGAGGGAGCTGGGTTTGAACCCCAGCTTCACCATGTCCTGGGTGAGTCAATCTATCTATGCCTGTGGTTTTCCCATCTATACAATGGGGATGACAGGAGAAACTAACTCAAGGGTCTCTGAGGGGGCCGGGGACTCTCACAAGACTTAAATGTGAAGACAGCGTGAGGAATGAGGGGCTGGCTCACAAAGGGGGTGCCAGGAAGGCGTGTCGGAAGTGACCTTTCTTTTGAAGACATAGGGGGAACCCATTTGGCAGAGAGAACAAGTGCAAGGGGCCTACAGCCAGAAGGAGCCGGGTGAGTGTAAGAGCGAGAAGAGGACAGGAAGTCAGAGGCTGGCTCACTAGCGGGCTTCTAGGCCACTGCAAGGGACTGCAGTTTTATTCCAAGGGCCACAGGGGGCCCCGTAATACCGTCAGTGTCCAGGCCTGATTAGGGACTGGTTTTCCAAAGGGACTCACGCACGCATGGGTAATGTACTGGTACTGTAAGATGGAAGCTTTATTCCCTTGACTCCCTGTGGTCACGCTGGTCACACTGTGCTGTAATCTCTTATCGCCCCCAGAGGGCCCCGGGCCTCCCTCCAGGGCAGGGGTGGCAGCTCCCTGCCTTCCACGGACACAGCAGTGCTCACCTGACTGCACATGCCTGCTTTAGGTACCCACATCTCATCCAGGACCCCATGTCTCAAGAGTCCCAGGGCCAGGAAGGCAGGAAGGGGCCCTGTGGCCAGAAGGGGACAACAGCCCTGAGAGTTAAAGCGTGGGTGTTTGGGAGAGGGGCAGAGACCCTGTTCTCTTCCATGCTGAGAAGCCGCTGTCCCCACAGCTCCTCGGCCCTCAGGCTGGGTGGCTCACAGACGCCTGGACAAGCTGCTGAACACCCTTAGGGAAATGCCTGGGCTCACCAAAGGTTGTGGGCAATGTGAAGGGTTCACATACCCAAACCCAAGCTCAGACTCTAATGTAAAGCCCTAGGTTCATGTATCTAGCCTTCATGCCAGCCCATTCTCTGCTGCTGGCCTCTCTGGGGGTGGACAGAGCTGAGAGGAAAAGAGGGGCCCCACCCCAAGGTCGCTAACTTGGTGTTCCTGCTGTGTTGAGCTCCACCTGGTTACACTTAAGCACAAGCAGGTGTAGTTATACAGGGATGGAAACAGGTTCAGAGACGTTGAGCAATTCATCCAAGGTCACCAGTCAAGCCAGTGGGCATACAGGGCGAAGCACCGGTGTGCTTATTTTGCACTGGGGGGCTGGGAGGCTTTGCAGAGGAGGCCATGCTATCTGGCCCCCACCCCCACCCGGCAGACATGGGCTCTGGCAGACAAAGAGGAGGCCCAGGCCTGCACCCCCGTTGCTGGAGATTTGGGGTGGTGGTGCTAGGGCCGCCGCAGTGCCGCCTCCAGGAGCTGGCCCATTCCCAGGTCCCTCGCATCCTGGTCGGTCTCCGCGGCCCTGGCTCCACACCTTCCCGCAGTGCCGCGGGTGGGGGTGGGTGCTGTGTAGGCCCCGCCGCCCGCGTCCTCCACCGGTGCTGGGGCCCACGCTCCCTCAGCCAGCTCCTCACCTGGGCGCCAATCCCGCAGCGTTCACCTTGCGCGCGTCCCTGCAGCCGCTCGCAGCGCCGCATCCTCCGCGGTGGAGATGCTCAGACTTGGCTAACAGAGCTCGGCGCTGCCGATCGCCGAGCCCGCCCACAGGAGCGCCAAGCCCGCTGCTTAACCCTTTCCTCCTAGAAGCGGGTGGATGCTCCCCTCGGTTCTGCACCACCCCATTCCGCCCACGCCCCGAGATGCTCAGGGATAGAGGGAACTGGAGCCGTGAAAATTCCTTCTGCAGCATCCCAGAAAGGCAAGGCAGTCAGCTTGTTTGCATGCCTGCTGGGATGGGGAGCTCCCTTCCTTCCTTTCTACCTATGTGCACATGCACACACCCCCGTAGACCTGCAAAACCACTTGCTTTCCAGTCGATTTCCACTCCTGGCGACCCCTTTGGTGTCAGCAGGTTTCTGATGGATGGCAGAGGTTTCGGGAGCACATCACCATTTTCAGCGGCTCCTCTGGGTTAAGCCCTCCCATTATCTCAGCAGAAATCCACCCCCACCCCCTCCACACACACACCTAGAGGTGAATCCTGCTGATGCACGCATTTCCTGGGTCTATGCTTCACAGAGAAATGTGTTCACACCGCACTCGTTGTGTAACTTGTCTACCGCCTTCCTTCTGCCTTTTGCGTGTAAATATCTATTCAACTCAGCTCCCTGCCATGGAGCCAATACTGACAGCGACAGCGACCCCATGGGTTGAGGTAGAGCTGCCCCTGTGCGTTTCAGATGCTGTAACTGTTTAAGGCGGTAGAAAGCCTCATCTTTCTCCGAGCGGTGAGGAGTGAGGTGGTTTAGAACCTTGTGGATCACAGCCCAGCTTGTGAGTCCCCACAAGATATGCCCCATCCCACTAGGTATGCAGAGGCTGGCCACCTCGTGTTACCTGGGATGCTGCAGAAGGAATTTCATAACTCCCCGTGACCTCTGGTTCCTTCTAGTCCTGGGGGTTAGGGGTGGCGTTGGAGCCACCAGGGGTCCAATGACTCATGTTAGAGGTCTTGCAGATTTGCCCAATGCAGTAAGTGGTGTGGTTTCTGGACTGCATTATATTCTCCACATGTTACGGGGCTGTCTACTGTGGGGCTCTCCTTTCCTTTCCACCGAAGTGTGATCCAGACTGCAGGCTCGGATCTGCATCTGCCCTCTCTGTGTTTCAGGCTGTGTGGGCCTTTCCCCAGTGGTTAATGAATCTTCCTCCAACCCTGTGGACTCCTGGGGACTACCCCCCTTGCTGTAGTTCAATTTCTCTGAATTTTGTGAAATGACATGCTTTCTTGATTTTAATTCAGCCAGCATCCCATGTTCTGTGTGAAAGACTGCCTTTTGGCTCAGAAGCAGCGCTGTGCTATGTTCAGTGCAAGAGTGACTGTGTATGCACAGCTTCGGTACAAGGGCAGTTAAGCACCATAATGAAACTAACTGAGCCCTAGTGGCACAGTAGGTTAAGCATTGGCTGCTCACAAGGTCAGAGGTTCAAACCTTTCTAATATGGAGAACGATGAGGCTGTCTGCTCCTGTAAAGATTCAGTCTCAGAAACCCTAAGGAGCATCTCTGCTCTGCCCTAGTGGGTCTCATTTTGTTTAACAGACCAAGATAAGGGAGAGTAAAAAGTATCCCCACTAGGGTTCTAGTTCACACAAGCGCTGATTTAATCCAAATAAAATGTTTAATCAGCAATGCACTAGTCAGTCTCAAAAAAAAAGAAAAAGAAAAAAAGTTTAATCAAAATAGTGGTTTCAAAGGGGATCTGCTGGTCCAATTCCATTCAAGGCAAGTTGGTCAGGTCAGAAGGTTACTGGTGACCGTTTAGGGCTCCAAAGAGGTGATCTTGACAAATGTTCTTGAAGGACACAGGAAGCACATAGGGCTTATGATGACTGCATGGAGGAAAAGGCCACCCACTGTGCATTTCCTTCCCATCACAACAGTGCACCTGCTCATCCTTTAAGGGGAGCAAGCGCTGTCCTGCAGAGCGTCACCGGGCGCCTTACCCAGTCCCCACGACAGCCCTGGTCTCACCCAGTCAGACTTCTGTGCCCCAGACGCCACAAGAGCATGAGGGAAGCTCAGTCCGAGTCCCCTGGGGTCTTGGAGCTGCTGTTTGAACTGGAGAGCCAGAATTCTCTGGGGAGGGGTTCGAGAGATGGAAACACCCCCTTCAAAAGCACCCAGACCTAGATGGAGGAGAGCTAAGTGACAATGGCATCACATCCTGACGGTTTTGTTTCTTAAAGGTATGTATGATGTAACACTTTGATTCACCTTCATACAACAGATAATTGGCCTTTTGGAGGGGTTACCCGAGACCCATCCCCTTCAGACAGGATCCTGGTTTCCCTTGGAGGAGGGTCCAGCTAGGCACCCTCAACACAAACGGGCAGCCATGTGGCTTTTTTGGGCTCCCCCAACCAATTAAAATATCATTTTATTGGGGGCTCTTACAACTCTTATTACAATCCATACATTAATTGTATCAGGCATATTTGTACATGTTACTATCGTTCTTTTCCAGACATATACCGTACTTTATTTTTAAAAAATCATTTTATTAGGGGTTCATACAACTCTTATCACAATCCATACATACATCAATTGTGTAAAGTGCATTTGTACATTCACTGCCCCATGTACCGTACTTTCTAGTGAGCCCTTGGTATCAGCTTTTTTTCCCTCCCCCGACTCTTGATAGATTGTAAATTATTATTTTCATATCTCACACTGACTGCTGTCTCCCTTCCTCCATGGCTTCTGTTCTTCCAGCTTTGAACTCGCTGTTGACCCTCCCCCTGGAGAAGTCCATGTTCCCAGTGTTCGGACAGGCGTTGTCTTGTTCCTCTCTGTTTCCCCGAGGGCAGGGTGTGTGCTAGGACCACCCACTCTCCTCCCTCTGAAGTGTCCCTGGTTAGACCTGTACTTCCTTTAACTAGCCAGCATCCCATGGGCTCTCCCAACTGCCAACTGGCAGGGGTTCCAGACAAAGGGAAGAGAGAGATTTAGATCCCTTTGGCCGGAGGCCAAGTTGAAGGCTGATCTTGGGAAACAGGTGACTAGCTGTGATGGGTGGGTGCCATAGGTGAGGAAGATCCCAATTCTGAGAGGGGCATCATCCTGGAGGTTCTGAGATGGCAGTGTGGGTGGGCGTGGGGGCCACGTCTCTGCTCTTATCTCACATGCATATTCTTTCTAAGCTATCACAGTATCCCTACATTGTCACGTGTCATATCTGAATCCTGGCATGCTGAAGTCCCGAGAGGTTAGATAACTTGTTCCTCGTGACCGAGCAAATAAGTCTTGTTCTTTTAGATCTGAATCTGATTTTAGAATCAGGGATGACATGATCTTGCTCCAGTGGAAGGCACTCAGGTGAGGGGAGAAGCCCCAGGCCGTCCGGGTGGCACCTGGAGTTAACAGTATGAAAATAGGCCCTGTGACAAGGGTGTCTCTTCATTAAAGGGACCTGCTGCGCAAAGTACTGCTGCCAACACAACAGAGAGGGAGGAAAAGGCAGGGCGACGTGTCTCTCAAAGATGCATGTCCTGCTGAGCAATGCCAGGGAGGGTGGCTGGCATTTTCACTGGGCTGGCTGCTCTGGCAGGAATGTACAGAGAACTCTCCAAAAGGCAGGGACAGGTGGGAGATGGAATGGCAGGCTCAGCCTTTCCTGAGCTCCACCTGCTGTCCTGAGCCTGAGGGTATGCGCACTTAGACCACTGGTTCTCAACCTTCCCGATGCGAGACACTTTAGTACAGTTCCTCAGGTTGTGGTGACCACCCCAACCAGAAGGGTATTCTCATTGCTACTTCATCACTGCAATCTCGCTACTGTTATGAATCGGGTGACCCCTGTGAAAGGGTTGTTTGACCCCCCCAAAGGGGTCGTACCCACAGGTTGAGAACCGCTGACTTAGACTCTTTCACTGAACTAGCTAAAGGGTTCCAAGCATCCTAACTCCTGCTTCCCATAATCCTAGCCTCCAACACCAGCTAAATCAACCTAAGCTTTCAGTTGCTTTTTGTGAATGTTCTGACATAGGTATTTATTTAAACCAAGAGCCCCACACCCCAGCCCTCCTCAATCCCGATTCCCGCTCCCCAGGGGCAATCGTTTTCAATTCTTTCACGCCATTTCTTCCTGGTCTATACACAGAATGCCTATCTTCTGAACATTTAACTGCTCCCGCTGTTCGTCCAATTTGATTCCCAGCGCAGTAGTCAAAGCTGTGGGTGAGAAGAGCCGCATGAAACAATCACTGCCCCTGGAAGGGCAACTGCAGTGAGCTCGCAACCAAGGGCCACCAGAGCACCTGGCAGGAGCCTCATTCGGACCAACGTCAGAAAGCATTTCGAGAGAGCTGGGGACCATGTGAACATGTGTTGGGCCTTATACCCAGCCACTGCCATAGAGTTGATTCTAACCCAGAGGGTTTCCGAGACTGTGAATCTTTTGGGAGCAGACCTCGTCTTTGTCCTGGGGGGTGCCTGGTGGATTTGAACCTCCAATATTGCAGTTAGCCCAATACCTAGCTTACAGTGCTGCTGGATTGGGTCTGAGAAAGTATTAAAAGAATAAACACGGTTATATAAGAAGAAATAATAGCTTTGTAGATTGTTTAAAAAACAAAATTAAAAAAAAAAGTGTTAGAAATATTATGTATGTGTGAAATGATCTAGCTGGAAGATTACTCTTAAATCAAAAAAGGGTGGTTTGGGGGAACAATTTGAAAGACAACTGCCGCTCACTACAGCAGTTGCTCCACAATGAAAAAACAGGTGGCAACTCGGAGAACGGGGAACAAATGGCACAAGGCTGGCTCAGCCACCTTGGGAGATGACTGCAGAAACGAAACGTTCAGTAGTTGAGTGTTGGCTCATCGTGGAGAGCCTTGTGGGGGGAAATAATTCACACCATAAAACGTCCCCAAGGAAAGTACGGGAGGCAGTGCTTGTGAGTTCCTCGCCCCAGTCTCCCTCCCCATCCCCAGGGAGTTTTCTGCCTCTACAGCTTTGCTGGTGGGACATGTGGTATTTTTCCTTTTTTATTGCTAAGTAATATTCCATTGTGTGGCTGGAGAAACATTTACCCTTCCATCAGCTGATGGACGTTTACTATGCATAAGGCAGCTGTGGACACTGATGCATGTTTTTGTGTGGACATGTTTCCCTTTCCTTGGTTGGTACATAACCTGACGTGGAATTGCTGTGTTTGACAGTAACCACAAACGAATACATCTGTAGAGAAATGATGGAGAAGCTCAGTATCACCAGGCAGAACAAGGAGAAGGGCCAACTGAGGAACAGGCCATCAACTGCTCATGTGCAAATTCACGTAAACGCTGAAGGGAATTAACAAAGCCCATGGGAGCTGGAATACATGGCACTGGAATGTAAGATCATATCAAGAATAGACTGAACATACTGAACACTAGGGACCCAAGATCACATTGTGGGATGACATCCATACCATATATACAGAAAGCATAAAAAACAACAACCCAAAAACAGGTGATTAAGAAAGGAGGACTGTCAGAAGAGACTCTGGAACTTGCTCTTGAATGTAGTGTAGCGAAAGAGAATGGAAGCAAGGGAGCCCAAGAGCTGATTGCAAAGGGCAGCCGGAAAAGACAAAAAGGGAAGAACGTGCTTGGCATTCCTCAAGCTGGAAGACTGAAGAAAAAAAAAAACCAAGCCTCAAGTTGGAATCTTGATTCTACGAGCAACAGTCAGTGATGCAGGAAGCACCCAAAGATGGAAGGATTACAGTCACCGTACCAGGAACAACTGAGGTTTAACCTTTTTAATAGTCCGCATATGATCAATAAGCAATGGTCCCGAAGGAAGATATCTAAGTTGCACAGAAGGCAATGGCAATAAATAAGCATTCCAGCAACTGGCAAATCCCGAGCAAGATGTCTAACTGTGGATGCAAGGCTGGAAGCACTCACTCATGTTTGCCAGGAAATTTGGTGCCTAGCCAACCAACTGGAAGAGATCCCTGCTTGTGCCCATTCCAAAGACTCAACAGAATGTGGAAATCATTGGACAATATCACTAATGTCACAGGTAAGCAAATATTGGCTGAAGATAATTTTTAAAATGGGTGCAGTAGCACAACAGGCAGGAAAAAATGTCAAATTAGCTTTAGAAGCGGATTTAGACAGAGGAGGTGTCACACAGACACCGGCTACAAGCAGTGTCTAACCAAGCAAAGGCATTTGGCTGTGCATCACAGGAAGTCAAGGCTACCGTCAGTGCATGTCAGGGTTCTAGCACTTCACCAGACTCATTCGACATGGATGTGAAGCAAATAGTTCAAGAAGCTGGATTTTATGTAGAAGAATTTGGAATCAAAGAGGAAGGTGCTCTGTAGGTGACAAAACCTTGCTTGCTGAAAGCCAAGCCCACAAGAGGGCTGGAAGGACTTACCAAGAGCAAAGACTTCAGCCTTCACTATGGATTGCACCTCAGCAAGATCCTCCCACCGGACCAACAAGCTACATCACGTTAAGCGGAGAACAGATGGAAGTTGTCATCGCTTCTCGGCATTTGGGCTGAGATCAAGCGAAAAGATTGAAGCTGTCAAGAGTTCATTTTACTTGGATCCACAATCAATGCTCACGGAAGCCGCAGACAAGAAATCAAATGATGTATTTGCATTGGGCAAACCTGCTACAAAAGACCTCTATAACCACGTCCCAGCCGAAGAACTGACGCCTATGGCATGCGGCGCTGGAGACGAACAGTGACTATACCATGAACTGCTGGAAGAAGGGACAAATCCTTCTTGGAATAAGTAGTCAGAATGTTCCTAGAGGTGAGGATGGCAAGACCCCATCTCATGTACTTTGGTCATATTACCATGAAGGACCAACCCAGAGGGGGGCGTCATACTTGGCAGGGCATCAGCAGGAAACAGAGACCCTCTGGGAGATGGACTAGCACAGTGGACTAATAGCAGTGACTGCGAGCCTGGTACAGGGCCTGGCAGCGTCTCGTTCCTTTGTACACATGGCTGCCAATTCAGAGCCGATTGGATGGCACCTTGTGAGGACTGGCCAGACTGTTTCCCAGAGCAGCTGTACTTGTATGACCCACTTTGGACAGCAGGGAGACCGAGGCCCAGGAAGGGGAAGTATCTTAAGCACAGCCGCACAATCAGGCAGAAGCTAGTTATCTGAATAGCCCTCGCCTCCATCCACGCTTGGGTGCTCTCTCACGTTTGCCCCTTCCATTCTGCCCTTCACCAAGCAGCAAATCTCATCCCGAGAGTCCCTTCCGTACACTGCCCGGTGCCAGCGAGGATCAAGTTCAGCCCGAGGGATGACTTACAAGCTCCTTTGTCACCTGACCCTGCTGCGGAGTCATTTGTTTTTTAAATGGTGGGTTTACTGAGGTACACGTCACACACCACACCATTTAAAATGCAGAGTCCAAGGCTTTTGTTCCCGCACTTCCCTTGGGGTCCTGAGTGTTTCACTTCCCTGGAACATCAGGGCCTGCACTGCCCTGTGCCTGGAACGGTCCTCAGGGAGCCTGGAGAAGTGCCTTGTGCTCCTTCTCACCTCGAGAGGTCTCTTCAGCCTTGCCTGACCACCCAGGCCAGCTGGATGAGTGGCTAGGTGGCCCTCACAGCCTCCCCAGGATCCCTTGTCCCTCCTGCCACTCACACACCAGGGAGTTGTGGCCTGTGGAGTTTGGGTCCTATGCGCAGTGCCCGGCCCATGATCAATAAGTGTTTGATGGACAAGAAAATCTGAGTGTTCTCTAGGGTGGCCCTGGGCACACTGCTCGTAGACGCCTGAGAACTGTTTGCAGACAGGTAGTCTACACGGAGCATTCCCGTTTGGGGGGCTCGAGGGCAGGAGACAGTGGATTTCTTTGCCTGGTACCCCGGCATGTCGACACATCCCTCCCATTCTTCACAGGCCACAGAAACCAGAGTGGCTTTTGCTTCTCGGCTTTTGACACACTGTCCCCAAATCCAAGTCATCCACATTTCTCTCTTCCACGTTATGCTGTGCAGCTGCCAGTACTCAGCACTTTCCACACCGGCCTCAATGAGCGAACATTTCAGACTCCTGAATAGTTTCAGGTGCTGAGAGTAAGTCAGAGGCTTCAAAAAGTTCATGGAAAATTTTCATTACACTAACTTGATTTTTTCCCATGAATTTTTGAAATCCCTTCCTGCATCCAGAGGGCTGGAAAGGTGAACTCATTTGGTATCTTGGCTCAAATGGAACAGAGCGAAGCACCGCTGTGTGCTGGTTCTGGAATGGGCTCGCTGAGACCAACTGGCTTTTGCCCTCTGCCTCGCTGGTGCCAAGGCCACGTGGTCTGCAGCCAACGGAGGGGCTGGAGACTCCTCACACACATGCTGACCCCGGCTTTGTCACAGGGGAAAGAACAGACACGAAGGAAGCAGCAGACGAGGGGCCCTGGGAGGAACACGGGGAACACGGCGGTGTTGTCACCGCGACTGTTGCCATCCTTCTCCAGTGCACACCTTGCGGCTCCCCCACCCCTACCCCCCACGGGCCTGTGAGCCCGATGCCGCTCCTGTGCTTGCGTTCCCCTTCTCCACTGCACAGCCCCGTCAAGGCACAGGTCAAAAGTAAGTTCTCCCAAGAACCTGCCTCCACCCGACCATTCCTGGCCTGGGGCGCCTCGAATATTCCATAGAAGCAGTTATAATTGTCTTTAATGGTGATTTGGTAGTGTGGGCCCACTGGTCACTATGGTTAGGCAGCAGAGGGTGGGCCAGTGCCCTGGACCACGAGGCCATCTGGATGCCAGTTGAGCGGGAAGGGCAGGTCCATGACCCAAAGCGCTTCTGCAGCACAGACCTGGTGTGTCTCAGGCGTTCTCTGTGGGCAGGATTGGAGCTCTGTCCATCCCCAGTCCAAGGCAGACAGCACAGTTGGCAGAGGTTGTTACCGACCCAGAGAGGCAACACTTGGACAGGTAAAGAGGAGAAACAGGACGGTTTAATCAGTAGAGTTAAGAGTCATTTGTTCTTGATTACAGAGCTCAATATGCAAATTACATTTACCTCGTGGTACAATCATTCCCGGGAAACCCTATCTGCCAGCCAGCAACTGCCCCCTCCCCAGTCTCGCCAGGCTGTGCAGACCCTCTTATCCACAGCTGAGAACTGGGGTCTGACTTCACAGAGCTGTGGACATGGTTTTCGTGGCCACATACATTCTGTACTACGGATCATGACTCTGCATTGCGTGACCGGGCTGTGATATCCCACAGGCTCTGAGAGCCTGGCAGTGTCTCTGGGAAAGTTGGGGAACTTTCTCTGGACAGCGTATTCAGAGATGGAGGCAGTTTGCCAAGTCTGTCCCGGCCTGGGGTTTATTTGAGTGAAATGCTGACTCTCTTGCTCTCTCATCCTGTGGGTGGAGGGTGAACAGCACAGGGAGGGAGATGCAGTTTGCTCACCTAGTTTTTCACCTTGCGGCATCACAGACGCACTACTTCTGTAAGGAAAGTTATAAAATACTCACACACACATACACACTCACAATTAATGGTTAAACCAGAGTGCTTGGGTCCCTAGAAAAAGGGAGTTTCCCGTGGTTAGAAGCCGGGCTCACTGCACAGGCTAAAGACTTAGAATATGGACAATGCTTTTTTCAAACATGGAATTTGTGCCAACTTTTGACTACCACTATAGGATCTCCTGCTTGGGTGTGCCCCTTTCTTGGACTCCATTCCTGGAGCCCCCAGAGGGAAAGGCGAAGCACGTAACGACTGCTCTCTGCTCGGCACGTGCTTCTCCTGCCCTCTAGTGCCAAGCACACGGGGCCTGGCTCAGACAAGAATGACCCTGCTGCACGCCCGCCAGCTCACGCTCCTCCTTTTTATTCTGGGGCTCCCTCGGCTCACACCAAAGTGACAGGGGAAGCAGTGCTCCGCGTGCGCGCGCGGCTGAGCCCTGCTTCAAAAGAGGGAGGTGTGCAGTTCCTTCTTGAACATGCCTTCGAAGTGGAGGTCTTTAGCCATGAGCTCCTCTTCCACATCATCCAGTGCCCACTGGTGGTCCGTCAGCTCCAGAGCTTCCCACTCTGTCTGTAAAGGGAGAGGACACCAGGGTGGCGAGGGGGCTTGGTACTGGCTGGGCAGCTGAGCCCGAGTGAGCACGTGCTCTGGGCCAGGAGCCGGGTCCAGCTCTTTCCTGGTCCCCGTCCATCTCACCCTAGGCAGGGAATGCCACACCCCCTGCGTCCCCCACCAGCCAATTCATAGGTAAGGAGACGAAGGCTATGGGAGGTCAAATCATTCGAGTTAGTCACTAACGAAGATGATGTCTACACTTTAGGCTCGACTCCAAAAACCTATTAGTTAATGCATATACTGTAGTGCCAACATGCTGCTTCTCAGTCATGAGCTCACACCCACTAAGCACTTCGTTAGGTCCTGGGAATACTGGCGGCAGACCAGTGAGGGTGGTGAGTCTGAGCCCATTCATCTGGACACTCAGTCTCTGGTGAAGTCCTGAAGCCCAAAGATGCCGTGACTCAAATGGCCAGACCCACCTTCAAAGGGCATGAGGACACTCCCTTCTACCTAGCGCCTAAATACGTCATGGCATTTCATTACAGTTCGTGGCGACCTAGTAATGTGATATTCTTGATTTCACCACGAGAAGAATTTGATAGCTCACATGACCTCAGCACTCTCTGACATTGGGCACCAACAATAATAGCTTAAAAATTTTGTTGACTATCCAATTATTCTGTGCATTACCAACATATGTCTGATAGTGATGAATGCCCAGGTGCACAGAGAGGATGCTGGCTGTGATGGTGGCTGCTCTGTGTCAGCTTGGCGGGCCACCATTCTGTGGTTTGGTAAGGATGTCATGAAAGAGTCACCTCATACTGCACTTCACAGAACGCCAATCCTCAGATAGAGAGTCACTGATTTTCCTTGCCTGCCTGCCCTGGCCAGAGCAGAAGGGAAGTGGCGAGAGCAGACGTCTTGTCTTGCTCCTGAGCGTGGGAGGAGAGCTCTCGCCCACCAGTGAGGAGGGCTGAAGTCAGACTGAGGTGGTTTCCATCTATCTCTCATTTGTTGGGTATTTTAATCATGAAAATTTAAGTCAGGTTTGTCCAAAAAAATTACACTGGATTTTACAAATCCCAAATACATCTGATGGGAAGGCTCTAAGTGTTGATTTTAAAAAATACATAATTCATGTTTAATGTCCACAGAGTGCAAAAAGTGAAACATCTTCCAAATGGTTCCCTGGTACTCCTGATTGGACAGGATTGCATTCAATTTGGGGGAGCACCTGGAAAGCAGGGAAAGTACCAAGAACATCTGTTCTGCTCAGTGGAAGACTCGGCCACGGAACAGGAGACACACTCAAGTGCCCAGGCCAGAGCCACACCAGCGTGCGCTCGGAGAAGCCGTCATTCGGTAACTCAGCGAAGCAACTCCCAGAACCTGCCGACCGCTCTGACGTGAGAGCCCAGTGTACCTTGAAAGCCTTGTTGGTGTCCGCGGGCATGGCCATGGCTGCGCCGGTCATCTGCTCCTGCATCATTCGAGACTGGTCTGCAGCTGCAGGACAGAGACAGGCACGTGAGCACCAGTGCTCAGCAAAGGACGGATCTACTCACCCTCTGAGAAAAATAACCCCTCACAGACACTCACGGGGCCCTCAGCGGGGGACGGGACAACTAGAAGGCAAGTTCACGGACTGGCCCTGCCATTGGCCGGCTGTGTGACCCTGGGAAAATCACTAACTCCCTCAACAGTGGGGATGATAGTGGCAGAGAAGGGAACCAACTGGTGCTCTCGAGTTATTTCCGTTTCAGCGGTGTATTTCCATGAACAACAGTCACCATCACCAGCCACTGTTATACTCCGGGCCCTTCACTCAGTGCCTTTCCTAATCTGGAGCCCCGCCCAGTGGCAGAGTGGGGCAGGCACTAGACTGCTAGGCACAGGTTGGTGGTCCTGGCCCACCAGCTGTTTGGGACCGAAAGAGGAGGTGTGCAGGGGCTAATTAACCTAAGGCCAAAGCCATCGCTAAGAGGACAGACCGGTTCTGCTCGGTTCTGCTGTGCTTCTCCTCTGTCCTGGAGGTGAGGGCCCACATGCATCCGGGGTCTAAATATCCTCATGACCAGGTGAAGCGGGGGCATCCTCCTTCAGCCCACGAGCTCACTGAAGAAGCCAGGCCTCTTTTGTTCCGGCCTGGGCTTCCACAATGGGTGCTGCAGCCCGCACATGGTGGAGTCCGACCTGGAACCCTGTGTTCCGCGTGATTACACGGGAGAAGCAAGGCCTGCCTGTACACGGGCCTCTGGGCTCTGGAGGACTCTCTCAGAAATGTAGGACGGAATTCAGAGAACAAGGCGCTGGGTTAGACGGGGCTGACCGACAGCACTGCCATGGCGTTTGTGGCCCCGGCATGGATGACTTGTCCTTTGAGGAGCGCAGGTGGCCCTTGCTTCGTACATCGGACATGCCGCTTACCGTTATCCTGGCCCAGTATCAGAGAGTAAATGCTTCGAAGCCCAAACACATTGAGGAAGTACCAGGATGCAGAGCTCACCCTAGCAAAGAAAGAGCGGGAACCACACAGGTAGTTATTTTAGAAGTGACTGCAGCTCCAGTGTTCCCAGCACCCCAAACAGTTCCGTGCACACACAGAAATCACCGGGGGCAGGCATTCTGTCTGTCCAAAGTACAAGAGGAGACACGCACGCTGCGGAGCAGTCTGCTAACAGTTACAGCTTTCTCGGCCACCCACTGCCTGTGGCTCGGGCCCACAGCCCTACCCCCGTCCTAGGAAGGACACCCACAACTGGAGGGCTTCCTTGTATCAAGGAATGTAAGTTGCTTTAATCTTTTTGACGCAGTGCTTTTCCGAGACGGTCATTATTTTTTCTTTTTCTTTTTTTGCAGTGAGTGAGTGAGACTGAGTGAGAGTGAGGCAGTGAGACAGTGAGTGAGTGTGAGAGAGTGAGAGTGAGACAGTGAGAGAGTGAGGCAGTGAGTGAGTGTGAGAGTGTGTGAGAGAATCGGTCATTATTTTTTCATAATACAATTAAAATAGCACACACGTTAAGTATAACAGGTTTTGGCTTGCCTTTTTATTAAATAAAAGAAAACTCTTACCAAGATGCATCTAATGTAAGAAGTTCGATCCCCTGCTGGAGCATGGGCTTAAAACGCAGGGTCAGTGGGAACGGGACCTTGGCTGTGGAGGAGAAAGAACAAGTTCACGACCCTCCTGCTTCTCTTGTTTGAGGGGGATGACGCGTGCAGGCGTCCCACCTTTCCATACGAAGGTGGGAACTCTGCTCCATGGAGCTCTTAGAAAATGATTTTCACAAGGAAATTTGTGACTTAAAAAAAAAGTCACTGCTAAAGTTTCTGTGAATAAGACCAGCTGCTCAGCGGCTGAGGAAGCAGGGACTCTGAGCTGTGATCGGAAATCTGGAAAAGGCTTACACTAATCCATCACCCCCGAGGTGGACTATACACACAAAGAATAATACCAAGAAACAACACTGATTAAAATCTAAAACCAAGTCACTTTATAAACAAATAGACAAACAAATCCATTCCCAAACCTGGCTAACGGAGTAATCAGTGAAATACGATTCCCTATGCCCTACTCTCCCGCAGTTAGTTTCAGGAACCCCAAGGGACAGCTCTAGCTTGTCCTACAGGTCACTCTGAGTCGGTACCCACTTGATGGCAGTGAATTTGGATTTGAGTTTTGGATGCCCTACTCAGCTAGAACACTATGTTGGCTTCAGATGGAAGAACCCTAAAATCACAGCACCCTAAATTGTTTTTTGGTTCAGAGATTCAGTTTGCACTAGGGCCACAGGACCCAGGATGCTAGTGCCTTGGTCGTACTGGGTTTCTCTGGAGGGGACCGAGGCGAGGAGCAGATGGCGCGGGATGCGGCTCGCTGGGCCTGGCACTTACTCGTGACGAATCCTGAGAAAGTCACGTTGATCCAGCCCCCGATCAGGATCATTGGGAGCACGTTGGTCACGTTCCCCTTCATCATGTCTGTGAGCATGGTGGGATCTACAACAAGAGCACGAGCGACCGCGGGCTTTCACGGGGCACACAGACACCGCTGCCCAGCTTCCCTGACATTCCCTCCCAGTGATTTGATCATTGGAACCACATTGGTTCCGACATGCTTGACAGCATTGGACACAAGCCTCCCGCTTGTGTGCATACACTAAGCTTACTCTTCTGCTTCTTGATGTCTAAGAAACCGTCATGGATGCTATCTTTGCCCCTGTTGGGTAATATCTATCTCTCATTCTTATCAATGCCGCATAGGATGCTGCTGGGTGGTGCCCCCATCCACGCTGGGTGGACCTACAGTTGTTCCCCATTTATGTATTTATTTTTTTCTGGGTTGCGGGTGGGGTGGGTGGGTGTTGTCATTAAACAATGCAGCCAGTACTACCTTCTATGTACATTTTTGCATGTTCGGGTGTTTCTGTAAGAGAAATCCCTGGGGGTGGCATTTCTGGGTCAAGGGGACACTGTCAGAAGTCCTTTAACCAGGCCACTCCTGGCATTCCCCTAACAGTGAGGGGCTAACTTCCCATGAGCTTGGGCCAATGACTTGTATCTCTGTTAACTGAATGGGCTAAAATAGGATGTCTGTCATTTGCATTCCAGGGTCTATCAGTGAGATCAAGCACTTGTTCATATACTCATTGGTCTTTCTTCTCCCGCAGGTTTTCTAAGAGACATGGTAAAATTCACTTCAGTACTTCTTCTGAATGGGTTTTAAATGGCGCGCGCGTGTGTGTGTGTGTGTGTGTGTGTGTGTGTGTGTCATGTTTCCTCCCTGTGCTCCCCGGGGTGTGTGTGTGTGTGTGTGTGTGTGGCATGTTTCCTCCCTGTGCTCCCCGGGGCCCCAGAGCCGGAGCAACTGAGGGAGAGCCTCGGCTCCGGCTTCCCACCTCCTCACCAGAGAGCCCCCTTTTATACACTGGGCCTCCCAAATGTTTCATTTGAAAAAGAGAATTCCATGTCTAGAGATCCCGTACCAGATGCTTCTAAGAGTCCCTTAGGTTTAATGTTTATAGAACAGCCCTTTGCTTAATCGCCCAGCCCCCAACTCAAAATCCACCCCCACCACCACGACCCTGCCTTAAAATCGTCCTCAGAGACCGACGGGAATCAACATACCCGTCATAGGAGAGGGGGAAACTACCTTCCTTTTAGTTTTTTTGAAAAATCCATCCTCTGGGTTGTTGAAATAATATTTTCGTGTCAAGAAGGACTAGGAGAAAAAAACAACAGAAAACCTTTTTGAGGTCTTAGAACCCAACAAGCTGCCGAAGCACTCCCCAAGGGTTAGTCAGAGGCCCTGGGATCTGCTGCTCGGCTCAGGACTGTCAGTCCACTTGGCAGCTGACCTGACACTGTAGCTCGGCCACATTTAAAAACAATTTCCCCAGAGGCCGGGGTCACAGTGACAGCAGACACCCTGGCCGAGACTTCATTACTGAGTCGCCCATCTCCAGCTTTCCCCCAGGGGTCCCCCTAGGAAACCTTCCGAGAGCCACAGCCCTCAACACGGATTGGTGGAGCTTCCAATAAAAGGTAAATGGGTACCTGTTTGGGAATGTATTTTCCATTTTCCCTGAGGACTCTGCTTCGAATGAGGACTTGACTGAAAAATACAACCAAGACAATGAGATTTAAAAAGTGAAACCATAGGAGAAAACGAGAGAATCGCGGACGAGACCCATTTAAACACAAGAGGGCCTGGTTGGCAACGGCCCTGGGTGGAAACTTTCCAGAGGACAAGTGTCCGTCCAACAATGCAGCGCGTTCAAACCCAGCAATCAGGTTCTCCAGGGCGCTCCCTTCCTTCCCTCCAGAGCGTTGCTTCCCGGGAGGCTGTGTTTCTAAAGATTTCTGAAGGAGGTACATTTGGGACATTACACTCAGCTTTTTCTTACTTTATAGTTAGCCAAGAAGGACCTTTCCCGGAGTGCAGAAAGCTGCATTGGAGACTGCTTGGGAGACTGGGGATGGACGGGAAGAGTGAAATTAAAGAAGGAAATTCTGAAAACCCACAAAGCAGAGAGTACCGGACTTGAAAGACAACAGACTGAAAATTCCACCCAGCACTCACACCGTTAATAAGCTCTTGATAAGTATTTCTTGAGGAAATTAAATGGTCTGCTATATTAGAAGAATATAATCAATCACAAAATGCTATACAACAGGTGGATACTGCTAAGGTACACATACCCAAACATAACAGAGATCAAAATCCCAAATTTCCCTAAGTTTTCTGAAGTTGCTTTAAGAGGGGGAACCCCCAAACTTGAAATGAACACCCTTCTGAAAAGTGAAACCTGGAACCAGGAACCGAGAGTAACAAACCCAAGGACTTGCCACGCCTCTCTGCTCAGCACAAGCCACCTGCCCTAGGGCCTGATCAACCTACACATAGTCTAGCTTCTCCAGATGCTAGGCAGGCCCTCTCTGTTACCAACTCTTCCATTATGCAGAACACCTTGTCTGCCCCCCACACCCCCATCCCTCTGCCACCGGTGAAGCCCTGAAGCCTGGGGCCCTCGTGGGATTTTATCTGGTCTTCCCCAGCCTGCTCTGCTGTCCTACACAGTGAAGCCGCTATACTCAGGTCTCCAGAGCTGACAGGTAATAAGTTCTGTGCCTCGGGAGCTAGTCCAGAGCTACTTAAGCGGTGACCGACGCATCAATGCTGATTGGTGATGGGATAAATACAGACTTTGGGAGTAGGGCTGGATACAGTTTTACAGCCATCTGACATTTTCTTTATTTTTAATCATTTTATTGGGGGCTTGTACAACTCTTACCACAATCCATCCATCCATCCATCCATTGTGTCAAGCACATTTGAACATTTGTTGCCCTCATCATTCTCAAAACACTTGCTTTCTACTTGATCCCTTGGTATCAGCTCCTAATTTCTCCCTCCCCCCAACCATCTGACATTTTCATGACATCCAAATATGTGATAAACAATTTCACAACAGCATTATTTATTCTGTGACAGTGGGGAAATAACCCAAGCAGATGAAAACTCGTCCTTCACCACGCAGTGTAAGCAGCACTGGGCCTAAAATGCCAATTTCTGTTGAGTCACTTCTGAGTGACAGCAACCTGCACGCTTCAGAGTAGAAGCGCCCTCCGTCACACGTTCATGGCTGTGCCTTTTCAGAAGCAGAGAGCCAGCCCCCTTTCCAAAGTGCCTCTGGGTAAGTCTGAACCACTAACCTTCTGCTTAGTAACCAAGAACTTACCGGTAAGTGTCTGCGTTATCCGGGAACTCCTAAGTCTAGAGAGTGATCGGTGAGTGCTATCAAGTTGATTCTGATTCATGATAACCCCAAGAGACAGTAGAACTGCCTGCAATGTTTTTTTCAGCTATAATTTTTGGAAGCAGGTCACCATGGTCTTTCTTCCATAGAGCTGCTAGATGGGTTCAAACCACGAACCTTATAGTTAGCAGTCAAGTGCTTAATCATTGCTCCTTGGGCAAGTAACTTGAGTTCCCAGTGCTTCCATTCCTGCTTGGGATGGAAGGTTTATTCTCACTTTGGACAAGTATTTCTTGAGCATCTATATGAATACTAGGAGCTATTAGGTAACATGAATGAGAGTGAGCAAAAGAAGTCTACATGGAAGGGGCAAACCAGCCTGTGTGATCCAAGGATTGTAAATAATAAAATCTAACATCAGAGGAGAAATTGTATTAGAGCTTAAGCTCTGAGCTCCTGGCTTACAGAAGGTTAAGATGACAGTGAAAGCCCAAATCCATTTGTAGAATCCCCATGCGGATTAAGGAGAATCCTGGTGGCATAGTGGGGAGTGCACGCTGGGCTGCTAACCAGAAGGTTAGCAGTTTGAAATCACCAATTCCTTGGGAGAAAGATAAGGTTTCCTGCTCCCATAAATACTAATAGTCTCAAAAGCCACAGGGGCAGTTTTACCCTGTCCTGTAGGGTCCTCATGACTCAGAACTGGCTCGGTGGTGAGTTTGTTTTCCTCCATGTGGATTAAGTCTCCACTGAACTCCCTCAGATCACTGACTAGGTATGTAAATAGCGTTGCCCTCAGAAAGAGTGCACTGGAAAGTGATAAAGTGAATCACTACAGATAGTTAGGTTAAAATTTAACATATTATCATTTGTTTTTCCTTTTGACCCATTTTTAATTTGTTCTCATTCAATTATTTACGGCTTTCTTTTTTCTGAGAAGAGTTCTTATTATTTTCTGCATTTTTGGACTGAGGTTTTTCTGTGTTTTTTTTTTGGCATTTTTTGGATGTGATTTTCTGTAGATGAAATTCAGGCCAGGTAAATCTATGGAGGCAGTAACTAGAGTAATTGGCCCTCAGGATTATGACATGGTAGGTTGGAGGCCCAAGGTTGGGAATGAGGATCTTATAATGAAGAAAATGATCTAAAACTGATTGTATAAGTTTTTAATATACCATATATACTCGAGTAAAAGCCGACCCAAATATGAGCCGCGGCACCTAATTTTACCACAAAAACGGCATAAAAAATGTGCAGAAAGACTCAGCTTATAAACGAGTATATATGGTACTTAAAATATTGAAGTGCATGTTATGCAAATTATGTCAATAAAATCGGATTCCTGTATACTAATGAAGATATCTTTCACAAAGAAATCAAGAAAAGAATACCATTTACAATAGCTGCACACACAATGAAATGCTTGGGAATCAACCTAATCAGAGAAGCAAAAGACTTGTACAAAGAAAACGACAAACGCTACTGCTGAAAGACCGAAGGACACCTACATAAAGACCGTTTCATGTTCACGACAGGAAGAATTAACACTGAAAATGTCCACAGCATGCAAAGCAACCTATAAACGTAATGCAATTCTGATCCACATCTCAGCATCAGTCTTTAAAGTAATGGAACAATTAATCACCGACCTTATACAGAGAAGAAAGAGACCTGGGATAAGCAAAGCGCTACTTAAGAACAAAACAGGAGGCAGTGTCAAAATAACCTGGTATGGCATGACAAACTGTTGATCAATCTATAGGGCTCCTGTTGAACAGAGAGCTGAGAAATACATCCACCCACCGACAGATCACAGATTTTTGAAAAAGGACCAAAATAAGTGGGGGGAGTTCTCTTCAACACATGGCACTGACAAAATGGGTTTCCACTTGCAGAGAAGAATGAAACCGGACCCAGTGTCACTCCATATGCAAAAACAAACTCAAGACAGACGATAGACCCAAATGAAATCCAGAACTCTAAAGATCATCAACGAGAAGATAGGGATAAACCCAAGGGCCTTAATACACGGCATACGCACATATCAGACAACGAAAAACACATACAAAGCAGACAAAATAGAGAATTGGAGCCTCCTAAAATTAAGACACTTATGGCAGTGAGTTTGGTTTTTGGTTTTATGTGCATCAAAAGATTTCACCAAAAGAGTAAAAAGAGAACTCACAAGATTGGGGGAAAAAATTGGGGGGCATTGATACACTGGACAGAAGGCTCAAAAATCTACAGAAAACGGCAACACTTCAACAAGAAAAACATGAATAATTCAATTAAAAACTGGGCAGAAGACATGAATACAGAGTTCGTCCAAAAAGACATCCAGGCGGCCAACAAATGTATGAAGAAATGCTTGTGATCATTAGCCATCTGAGAGAGGCAAATCAAACAAGGAGACCCCATCTCACAGAAAACAAGCGGAATCTCGAATGCTGGGGAGGGCACAGAGCGACGGGGCCTCACACACTGTTGGTGGGACAAACTGCAGCCACCCTAGAAAGGGGTACGTTGCCTCCTCAAACAGCCGGGAGGACAGAAATACCGTCATCCCAGCAACCCCTTTCCTTGGTCTGTACCCTGAAGAAGTAGGAATTGTAGCACAAAATTCAGCTGGAAGTCCTACTGTACACGTCAGCGATTCTGTGAAATTGGGATCGAGAACTGTAACCGAAACCCTTCAAGACCTTGACATAGGGGCCTACTTCTTCTGTAGATGCTAAATGCTGTTAAACTGGGATTCAGAACGGTATTCTCTGAAGCTGGAAAATTCTGCAAGAAATTAAAGTTTTTACCTTCATTTCCACATATAATTAAAATAAATCCTTCATTGAACATAAAAAGAAAGCTATTTTTGTACTGGAAATTTGCAACCAAAAGTTTTTTGGAGTAAATTGTACTATTTAAAGGCAGTATCTCCAAACCCAAGTTCTATATTGTTTTTCCTAAGGGGTCAGTACATTTTCCAAGTTTGAAGCCATGTTTTACATACATTGCTTACGCTTTGGACGGCAATCTACAAGGTCAGCAGTCTGAACCCACCAGCTGCCCCTGCAGAGCTTTCTGCTCCGGTACAGTCACATTCTCAGAAACGCACAGCGCAGCTCTACCCTGCCCTATAGGGTCGCTGGGTCAGCCATCTACTCAGGGGCAGTTAGTTACTTTTGTTTGTTTAATTCTCTGATATTCTCACATATTTGTTTTCAGTTTTGGCTTAATACATTAAAAAAAAATTTTAAGTAAGTCTAATTAAGAAAATAAATGTCCCATTTGTGATCATTCAGGCTAATGGAAATTTATAGTATATTTAAAGGGAGGAATATTTTGCCTTGGACTAGCTCAGAATCACCTGCAAGGATATACCTGAGTTCAAATGATGACCTAATTAGGGCAAAGCCACACCTTGTCAGAACTGGTAGGTTCAGATATGTGATCCTGACACCTACTTAAGGGATAGTGAAATGATGGCAAAGATGGGGAGTTTTATCTCAGTGGTTCTCCACGGGGGCTGTACTGCCATCTAGGGGACCTTTGGAAATAGTAGATTTTTTGATGGTCAAAAAGATGGGGTGCAGGTGACTCATGTAACTGTCATTGTGAAGGGCTGGGACACCACTTAATGCTGTGCACAGCCACGCAACATAAAGAATTGTCCCATGTTCTACACTACTTTTGGATGTTATTAAGCAGATTACTAGAAAACAATTTAAACTACCATATCTACTCGCGTATAAGCGGACTGGAATATCCCCCAAGGTACCCAATTTTACCACAAACCAGCATAAAAATGTGCTGAAAAACTTGGCTTATACTCGAGGATCTATGGTAAACTGTTTTCTAGTACCATATATACTCGAGTATGAGCCAACCTGAATATCAGCAGAGACACCTAATTTTACCACAAAAACTGCATAAAAAATTTGCGGAAAAACTTGGCTTATACGTGACCATATGCGGTAATCTGCTTAATAAATATTGGTTATTAATTTTTTTAGGTTAACTGGGGGTGTAGGGAGACACACTGAAAATAATAAAGTCGTATTTCTCAAGCATCCATGGTTAGAATCTTTGTTTTATTCATCTAGAGCATGAACTATTATTAATATTTTTATATACAAGTTTTTTTGGTAGTCTTGTCAATTTTCAAAGGAATTCTTAAATTACCAGCCAATGAAAACCGGTATTACTTGCTGCAAATAGGGTAACTGGTTAAATACAATAAAAACAAAGTAACATTTTAAACGTTGAGCTAAGTTGAGCCTTTTTGCTAAAACAGGGGGATTAAAAAACCAACACACAAAACCTATTGCCATTGAGTCGATTACCACCTTTTAGAACAAAGTAGAACCATCGGGTTTCCCTGACTATCATATTTGCAGAAGGCGTCCTGGAGGTGCAGTGGGTGAAGCGCTGGATTGCTAACCATAAGGCCAGAAGTTCAAACCCACAAGCCACTCCTTGGGCGAACCACGAGGTTGCCGCTACCGGAAGGATTTAATGTCAGAAACCCTCCTGGGGCAGTTCTACTCTGTCCTATCACATCACTGTGAGATGGAATCGACTGTGGCAGTGATTGGGTGAAATCTTTCTGGGAGCTGACTGCCTATGAGTCCCCATCAGCTTGACAGTAGTGGGTGGGCAGGAATCTTTACAGAAGTAGATGCTACATCTTTCTCCCACAGAACCAACCGGTGGGTTCAAACTACTGGCCTTTTGGTTGGCAGCCAAGCACTTAACCTCTGCTACCCAGCCTCCTTATTGTTAAGTGACAGATGACAAAGGAAAAGAATCTCTTAGATTCTCCTATAGAGTTGAGGTCCTAACCTTTAGAACTTGTGTATGACACTGTTTGGAAATACAATATTTGGGCAAGTTATTAATTAGCATGAGTTCACACAGAGTAGGGTGGGTCCTAATCCCATCTGAGTGGTGCCCCTATAAAAGTCACAGAAAGAGGAAGATGTGCACACCAAGAAGCACCGGGAGGACCAGGAGCTGAGAGCCATGGAAGGATCTTCCCCTAGCAACTCTGTAGGTGAGACATGCCCCTTCTGACGGCCAGAGTTCAGCCTCCCAGCCTCCAGATGCGTTAAGCAATACACGTCTGGTTTTCCGTCACCGACTTAGTGGGACGTTGTCACAACAGTCCTAGGAAAACTAATACAGGCTCTTTGGAAAGAAAAAAAAATCAGACAGATTGAATGAGATTTGTTATTTAATATTGGGGAAGGGCAAGCAAAAATCTCGGCATTATTTAAAACCATCTCCAGGGACCTGTCTCTGCAGATAAATACTATGAGGAAGAAACTATCTCCACTCCACTCCGGGAGATACAGTGACAATTTCCATTATGACAGTTGGATAGTTTGCAACCTGTTTTGTTACTTATCATCTCAAATGATCACCAATAGTTTAAGATTGAAACACGTGTGGCTACACAAAGCCTAAAAGAACCACACCACCTGGGCTCAGCAGGCACTCCTCCCAAGCAAAAGTAGGCCTGGGGAATTAACAGACTACCCAACCATATTAAGAGCAGCATGTGCCAAAGTTTTTACAGCCCTCATCTGCTTGAGTCCCCAGGCCAGCCTTGTGAGGCAGGCTCTGGTTTTCACATTTTGTGGATGACCAAAGTGGAACACACAAAGGAAACTTGCCAGGATGGCCCAGTTAGTGGGGGGTGCGATGTGAACCCAGGCAAGCTGACCTAATTCCCAGTTTTGTCTCCCTCGTCCCCCAAGGTCACGGGGGCGTGAGTCGGCCGCAGGGGGGGGGGGCTGACCTGTCGGACACTTGTTCCTGGGTGAGCTTCTTGTCGCTCTGCAGCAGGATGGACACGTAGTGGCGGATCATACCCACGAAAAATGTGATGATCACGATGGGCAGGACCACCCAGAGGCGGATGTTGGAATCGAGCAGCAGCTCCGGGCCCGCCATCTTCACCAAGTCGCCGTTCCCTACCGAGAGTGGACGGACTGCGCCTCGCCGCGCCGCCGCGGTCCCTCTCCGAGCTCACCTCCCGCCCTGCGGCCGGCTCTCAGCCTGGCTGGCCCGGGACTCGGCGGCGGCTCGGGCCTCGCGTTATTCCGGCCTGGCCGCCCGGCCGCCCACTTCCGGCGCCGACGCGTGACGTCACGGACGCGGCGCGTTTCTATGAGGTCAAAGCTCGGCCGGCGGGAAAGTCGAGCCCTGGAGGTGGAGACGGCTTCCCGGCGGGTGAGTGGAGCAGCGGTCGCTGGAGCTTCTCCAGGCCCCGCGCCCCTGCGCCGTGGGGTCCTCTGGGACTCTGCGCCCCGAGCCTCGGCTTCCTTCTCCGTACAGCCTTTGGATAATTTCTTCGGAACCGCCTTGGGTCGTTAGAATACGCAAATGAGATGACCACCTACCCCTGCCTACTTGACTTGGTCCGGGCAGCCTGGCCCTTATCCCTGCCGTTGAGGTTCCGTTGGGAGCCAGACGGAATATCAATAGATATAGTTTGACGATTCTCCCATTTCTTAGGGACGTCCGCCCCATGAACCGGTACCACCACTCCGTGAAAATTCACATCCTAACCCGGGTTTCTGTAACGTGAGATGCCCAGAGGGTCCCTTTCCAGGGCAGCCCCGGTAATGACTCTGGTGCCTTAATGGTTACGCGTTGGCTGCTAACCGTGAGGTTGGCGGTTTGAGACCACCAGTAACCTCCTTGCTTCCCAATGCTTTAAAGAGGTCTTGCGCAGTAGATTTGCCCAATGCATTTCGTCGTTTGATCTCATGACTGCTGCATCCATGAGCACTGGTTGTGGATCCAAGCAGGATGGAATCCTCGACCACTTTCGTCTTGTTTCATGATGTCACCTATTGGCCCAGTTGTGATAGGTAGGAGGGAGATTTTTCAAGGAAGATGACATTTGATAGCATAGGCGTTTCCAGGCAGAAAAGAGCATCTTGGGTGAAAAGAACAACTTGAACAAAGGCACGGAGGTCAGGAAGAGTCTGGCTTCTAAAACAGACTGGAAGGCCCTCTGGTTCAGGTGCTCCTCTACCTCTGTAATCTCATTTCTGACTCTATAGGCACCTGCCCATTTCAACAGGAGTTTTCCATCTCTGCCTGGACTATTGTCATGCCTCATCCATCGGCAAACCCTTAGATCCCTCCTTAAAAATCCCTTTCTCTGGAAAGTTGTCTCTGTTTTTCTTCAATACCCATTCCCGACGAGATGAAGTTTTCTTTGCATCAGCATTCATAGCAGCTCATGAGACCGTGAATTCCTGAGCACAGCAACCATGCCTGTCTTGTTCACAGTTTTAGCCCTTGCATCTAGCTCAGCCCTTAACAACCAGCACTGAATGAATGAGTTACAGGAGAGAGAGGAAAGATCTTAAATGTCAGATAGGGAATTGTAAGCTTCATCCTTCAGCAGTAGAGAATGGTCTCACTAAAGAGGCAAGTCTTGGAAGCAAGAGAGTATTAACTGAATGTAGGATTGAACTTTGCTCAGCACCTGGGTTCAGGAAGCTTCAGTGTGAAAAGCAGAATGCCATTGGCTTTGGGTAGAGCAGTTTTCTACAGCTGCAATGTCTCAGAATATCCCTGTCCTCGAGAATGACTCCAAATCTCTGATTTTGCTCTAGGGAACAATTTGACTGCAGACTTTGGTTGAAATGATTTCCAAAAGACGACTGTCAAAATCTGAAGAGAACGAAAGCCGGACAGAAGATGCCTCCAGTAAACATTTAGCCTTGTGTCTGGTAGAACATGGGGGGACAAAGAGGCTTAATGTTCTTGATTTCCAGCTGCTGGGAGCCATCCAAATCTGGAAAACATAGACTCTAGTATCAGGGTGGGGGCTTTGGGACTGAGTTGCCGCCTCCAATTCTATATATGATTTCAGGTATTTCCACAGTCTAGCTGAGCTTCAATTTCCATATCTATAAGAGTAATTAGTATTACTGTTCTTGTGTACTGTATACCATTTAGGCACAAAGACATGAAATAACCCCCACTTAAAAAAAACCCAACAACAATTTGTGGTCCTTTCTCATTCCAGAAAAAGTGGGGGGCGGGGGGAGATCAACAATCTAGCTTTCAGAAAACAAAATTAGAATGATGAAGGAAAGAGCATATCAAAACATGCAGGTAAAGAAACAGTGCGGTTGTTGGGGTAAGAATGTGGTTCCAAAGAGAAGAGGTCTTGTTCATTCTTTTCACCTTGGAGGCAATTCTAACTTGTTACTTGAAAAGTTACATCTCTTGTGAACTTCTTGAATCCCCTTCCTACAATTGAAGGGTGGAGAAAGCTTGGTGATGCTTCCTGTGCAACCTTAGGGGTGATTGAAAACTCCAAATCCATAATCACACTAGGAATAGGTTTGATGTAGAAAAGGGGATTCTAAGGCTCTAGCCATCGGTTACTAAAGGGAGTATAGACCAGAGAGAAATTTTGAAACTGAAGGGGAATGCTTTAGAAAGTGATTAAAAGTAAATGTCAAAAAAAGTAAATCATACTTTAGAAATACTATTCTCCAGAAAGGAGGAGACTTACGAAAGGGACATTGGTTCTCTGTATTAGTGATGAGTAATTGTAATTGTTTGTTTTGAATATGCTTGATTTTTTTCTTTGCTTTTTTAAAAGAAAGGCTCAAATTCAGCTTGTGCCATAGATTCGATTCTGAGTCATAGTGACCCTGTAGGACAGAGTAGAAATGCCCCTATGGGTTTTTGAGGCAGTAAGTCTTTGTAGGAGTAGAAAGTCTCCTCTTTCTCCTGCAGAGTGGCTGGTGGTTCTGAACTACTAGCCTTTTGGTTAGCAGCCCAGTGTGTAACCCACTTCACCAGGGCTTCTCTAAAAGAATGAATTGCATCAATATCAGAGTAAGGAGTAAATTTCATACTTGTTTGGGGGTTTTTTTGGCTTGTTTATTAATATTACCGTATATACTTGAGTATAAGCTGACCCGAATATCCGCCAAGGCACCTAATTTTACCACAAAAACTACATTAAGAATGTGCTGAAAAAGCTCAGTTTATACTCGAGTAGATATTCTGGATTGGAGGAAGGCTTGTTAACCACCTGCGAACTGCATATGACACAACCTTGCTTGCTGAGAACAAGGAAGTCTCGAAGCACTGGCTGATGAAGACCAAGGATTGCAGCCTTCAGTATGGATTACTACTCAATATAAAGAAGATCAAAATCCTCACAAACTGGACTAATAGGTAACATCATGATAAATGGAGAAAAGGTTGAAGTTGTCAAAGCTTTTGTCTTGCTTGGATCCACAATAAATGCTCATGGAAGCAGCAGTCATGAGATTAAAAGACGGGTTGCATTAGGTAAATCTGCTGCATGAGACCTCTTTAAAGTACTGGGAAGCAAAGACGTTACTTTGAAGACTAGGTGTCCCTGATCCAAGTTACGTTATTTTGAATTGCTTCAAATCCATGTGAAAGTTGGACTTTGAATACAGAAGACCAAAGAAGAATTGATGCATTTGAATTATGGTCCTGGGGAAGAATTTTGAAAGTCTGAACTGCTAAAAGGACAAACACATCCGTCTTGGAAAAAGTACAGGTAGAATGCTTCTTAGAGGCAAGGCTGGTGAGGCTTTGTCTCACGTACTTTGGACGTGTAATCAGGAGAGACCAGTCCTTGGAAGAAGGACATCATGTTTGGTAGAGTGACAGTGAGAAAGAGGAAGACCCTCAAGGAGATGGGTTGACACTGGCTGCAACAATGGGCATAGGAACACTTTCGAGGATGGCACGTGGCCAGGCCGTGTTTTGTTCTGTTCATGGTTGATATGGCTTGAAACCACCTTCAGTGGCACCTCACAAAACAACAGTTCCTTCTGGGTGAAAGCTTTGGGTGCAACCAATCTGGGCTTTGTACTCATAGGTGTGATGCTAAAGAACGGTCCTCCTCTGTCTACTCTTGCATTCAGATCACTGGCCTCAAACTTGGCTGTGTATCCGGATTATAGCTGAAGAGCTAGTTAAAAATTTATACTCCTGGGCCCCATTCCAGGGATTTTAGTTTAAAGCTCTGGCATGGAAACTGGGAACAAGCATTTTAAGAAGCTTCTGATAATTCCAGTGCGGTGATTTACAGTAAACAGCTTGGGAGAGAGACAATGATTACTTTATAAATAGATAATCCAAGGAGCATTCGGCATCAGGATTGGAAGAAGGCTCATTAACAAGCTGCAATATGCAGATGACACAACCTCGTTTTTTTGAACGGCAAGAGGACTTGAAGCTCTTACTGATCAAAACTACAACCTCCGGTGTAGATTACAAATCAGTTTAAGAAAAACAAAATCACAACTGGACCAATAGCATCATGACAAACAGAAAAGAGCGACATTATCAAGAATTTCACTTTATTTGGCTCTGGAATCCATGCTCATTGAAGCAGCAGTTAAACCATGCATTGCACTGAACAAATCTACTGTACAAGACCTCTTCACAATGCTGAAGAGTAAAGATGTCACTTTGAGATCCAAGGTTCACCTGGCCCGTGCCGTGGTATTTACAGTCAGCTTGTAAGCATGTGAGAACTGGACAATGTATAAGGACGACTAAGAAGAATGGATGCATTTGATTTAGGTTGTTGAAGAATATTGAAAGTACCATAAACTGCCGGAAGAAGGAACAGACGTACAGTCAGAATGCTCCTTAGAAACAAGGGTGGCAAAGTTTTGTCTCGTGTGCTGTAGACAGGTTGTCAGGAGAGATCAGTCCCTGGACAAGGGCATCGTGCTTTGTGATGAAGATCGTCAAGGGGGGAGACCTCAGTGAGATGAGTTGACACTGCAGCAATGGGCTCAAGCTCAACAGCTGTGAGGGTGGTACAGAACCAGGCAGTGTTGTGTTCGTTGTATGTAGGGTGGCACTGAGCCCACAGCACCTAACAACGTTGCTGACTACAAGAATCCTTGGCGCTGCTGTGGGTTAGGAATTGGGCTGTTGACTGCCAGGTTGGCAGTTCAGAGCCACCAGCTCTGCAGGAGAAAGGTGCGGCTGTCTCCTCCTCACAGATTTACAGCCTCGGAAACCCCGGGTTGGGGGGGGGTGTCGTTCTGCTCTGTCCCATGAGATCACCAGGGGTCAGATTCATCTTTTGCTGTTTTTTGTAAATTGCTGGCCCTTGTTAGAGATCGTTTGCTTCACTGCAGCATCAAGAACACTTTAACTTTCCTCTTAAGGTTATTCTGTAGAGGTTGATGTTTTAATCTGTGCTTTACCATTTGTCACATTATTATTACTGTCTGTTTTCAGAAGCCAGGAAGCTACCTCCTTCCAAAAAGACCAAGAGATCTCATGTTCATACTGAAGTTGAAGAAAATGACAGTGTCTTTGTAGAGCTTCTTAAGGCATCAGGAATTATTCTTAAAACAGGAGAGAGTCAGAATCAACTAGGTAACGCCTCCATCTTAATCGATAATCCGAATTTCGTGAAAGGGCTCAGGACTGGATCATAGGTTTTCTACATCAAGAGGCAGTGGACTCATGAAGCCCCTTTATCTGGAAACAGGATGGAGCTACTTTTTAGGGGCTGTTGTTAAGGTCTTTTTCTGGCCATGATTAATGCATTTTAAGTAAAGAGCTACAAGTCCTTTTGTAGACAAAATGTTAGCTATTAGTACTCTTTTTTTTCATGTGAAAAAAAACTTAGTATCCAGAAAGCAATTAGATCTGGTTCAGAATTTTTTCAAAAGAACATTTATAAAACCATGTGTGGCCATGTTTATGAAACAGATTTTTCCATCTTGCTAAGGTAATAGAAAGTGTTTCTTAGAATATTCTAAAAACCAAATCAAAAGCAAAGCAAAATAATATTCTGTCAAAGTCACATCAGTTTCACTGTGGGTTTAGAGCAGTGGTCGGCAAACTTTAGAGATAAAAGAACCAATCCTGTCCTTCACAAACATTGAAAAATTATTCGAGAGCCATAAATATATTTTTATAAACAAATGAAGTCGCCATTGTCTGAATAATATCCTTGAAATGCAACTCTGATAGTTTTATTTTCATTTTCAGTTTTGCTTCAGAGACAGGTCCATACCAAAAGAGCCACACGTGGCTCAGGAGCCATAGCTTGCCGACCCCTGGTTTAGAAGATTTCATTCTGGAATTAGGAAATAGCTCTTGTGATCTCTAAGGACAAAATGGGTCCTTAGGGAAGGAAGACTGGTAGATATTAGAGGACACTAGGGATCGACTATTCTTTTTTCTTTTGGTCATAGTTGTGGATCAGATAATGTTTCAAAAGAAGCTTTTTCAGACCCTGAGGAAACATCCTTCTTATCCCCAAGTATGTATTCTCTCCCTGGTACTTTTGTGTTTCCATCAGGGCTCAGACATGGGGAGTTCAGAGACACTGCATAGAGTTAAGTGGGCTAGAACAACTTTTAGCTAACAGCAAATGTTGAACTAAAAGCCGTGTTCTTCTCCTTTCTTTTTAAATCCCCCTGTTAAGATACTAGAAGAATTTGTTAGTGGCCTGGAGTCTTACATCGAAGACCAAGACTGTTTCAGGAACTGCCTCTTGTCTTGTGCGCGTCTGCAGGATGAGGAAGCCAGGTGTGGAGAGGAGACAGAGTCTTGCTGGGAGTTGTCTGGGACGCTCACGGGGTTGGTGGGGGTGCTAGAAGGGGAAAGAAGGCGACCTTTTGGCATTTCACATTTGAGCTATGGCTCTTTCCCCTTTGACTTGTAGTCTCCTGATGAAACTGAGGATTGTGAGGCTAAGAACCAGAGTGTTCTAGAATGTGCCTCACCTGGCTCGGTAGAATTTTCACCTTCTGCCTCTTTTTTAAAAGCCATCTTTCTTGTTCTATACTTCTTACCTAACATAGTTGTTTTTCTTTAAATCAAGGGTCCTCAAACGGGTGTTTTTGCCCCATTTTGTTTTTTGTACTTCAAAATAAGATAGGTGCAAGTGTGCATAGGAATTTGTTCATAGTTTTTTTTTTAAAACTATAGTCTGGCCCTCCAACGTTCTGAGGGACAATGAACTGGCCGCTGGTTAAAAAGTTTGAGGACTGCTGCTCTAAACCATTGTGATGACGAAAGAGATGAAAACACTGAAACGAGGCATAAAATTAAAGACAAATACCCCCCCCCCCCCTGTTTTTAACAGCATGGGCACACCTTACTGTAAGAGCCTCATCAAGCTGCTTTTGGGGATTGACACATTGCAGGTGAGACTGACCGTTTCTCTGAACATGCGATGGGTGTGATTGTGGGGGTGCCCACGTCTGAGGGCTGGAGCACCGAAGAGAACCAGGTTCACTGCGAGTTTGAAGGTGCCGCAGCGTTACTGTAGCCCTGATGTCTGAACGAGTCTGGTAGGGCAGCATCTGTGTCTTTGAACTAATTTAACCTGTTACATCTGGCAGTCCCAATATTTTCTAGGCATTGAGTTCCTGGCTGTTGTGTTTAAACTGCATCCTGTATGTTTTGAGCACCTTGTTTCTGATGTATTCGTATCTGAGGAGCTTTGGTGCCCCAGAGGTTACCTGTTGGGGGAGAAGGATGAAGCTTTCTACTCTCAGATAACAGCCTTGGAAACTCACAAGGGCAGGTCTACCCCGTCCTAAAGGGTTGCTATGAGTTGGAATCAACTCAAAGACAGTGAGTTTTTTGGTGTGTATTAGTATGTTTCACTCCTCATTTAGCTTTTCAGTTGCTTCTGTCACTTGATTTTTGCCCTTTTATCTCTTAATTTATAGAGCGGACAGTGCCTTAGTTTATTTATGTATTATTTAGCCTTGGTCTTTTTTGAAAACATCTCAAATTATAAAGGGTATATACAGGGAGAATTCCCCTCCTACCCTGTCTTCTTTGCCCCTCCCCCTTAGTCTTTCCACATTCTTCATTGCTTCTTTTCATTGGACATTTTGAATGCGATTTAGCTCGCTTAAACCGGAGTGTTTCCTTGTTGCAGTGAAGAGAAATCTTATCTGCTCGCAAACTACAATATTCATAATCTTACAAAATTTCCATTTTGTTTTATAGATTAATGTATTTTATAAAATTTCGTGCTATTTTTGATGATCTGTATTTCATGATTATTATATATTTTTCATGACACTTCAAATGATCTGATTATGTTAATTTTGGCTTGCTAGTAATTTTGTGACACCCCCTCCCCTTTCCAGGAGGTCACTTATTGACAAGGCTTTTCTTTTCAAACAAACAACTTATATTGAAAACAGACAGTACTCACCTGGGCAGTCTTCAAGGAGAAGATTTCAGTTAGGGCAGGTCTTTCCTCCAGAAGCTCTTGCGGGGAGAGAATTCTGTCTGCGGTTGGAACTCCCTCTGTTGCTGAGGCCTGCCGTGACGGAAGAGGGGTGGCTGTGAAGAACAGAATTGAGAATCTCAACTCCTGGGGAAGGCCTTTCCTTCCATGTCTGGCAGTGGCCAGCGTCCTGGGCAGTCTCAACTTTGAAATGTCAGCTGCATCTCCCTCCCCTGTGTACTTAGTGTCTGTATTTCTTTTCATAAGATACCACCCCGAAAAGATTAGGTGTAGGACCCCCTCTGACCTCATCAACATAACAAAAGGCCCCTATCTCCGAACAGACTCAGGGGTTAAGACTTCCATGTGGATTTGGGGTGGACACATTGAAATCCATAACACAACCTTAACTCCCCTTTCCTTCTTTTTCAGCCAGCCATTATCAAACTTTTATTTGAAAAGTTGCCGGAATTTCTTTTTGAAAAGTAAGTGGAGTTATATGCTGGTGTGCCCTGGTGCACCTGCAGTGTTTCTCCCAGAAGGGTTCTCTGAAACATCTTTGGCCTCTCTGTCGGTCACAGTCATCAGGACTTTGGTTGTTAAGTTACTGTGGTGTCTTTGAAATTTTATCTGTTTATATAGCTGCGTAAAATTAAACGGGATTCTTATAAATATTGCATATGTTTCTATGTGTATTCCTAGGAGGATATACAATAAACTAGTGAAAAATAGTTGTTTCCAAAGAGGGCTCTTTGAGGACTGCCCTTTGCCTTTGACTGTTGTCACGTAGGTTGACTGCCTCCTTAACAAAACAGACAAAATTTAATGAGAAAACAGCTATGTCAGATACAAAGGAATCACCTAAGAAAAGCAGACAAAAATCGTGCACAGGTAATTCACTAAGACAAACACAAGAGCAGCAGATGTTTTAAAAAGTTCAAGTTTGTTAGTAATCAAAGAATCACAAAATTAGAGCAATGAGATACATTTTCCACCCTCAAAGGGTATAAGAAACAGACATGTTCCCACATTGATGATGAGACTATAAATCAGCCCAGTCATTCTCAAGGGCAGGCAGTAGATAGATGTCAAAGCCCTAGATCTTGCATGCCCTCTAATCCTCAGAAGGAGCTCCGGTGGTGGAGTGGTTATGTGTTGCACTGTTGGCATTAGTTGCTTGTCTCCTAGCTGAGTCTTTAGAGCAGCGGTTCTCAACCTGTGGGTCGCGACCCTTTTGGGGGTCCAACAACCCTTTCACAGAAGTCACCTGATTCATAACAGTAGCAAAATGACAGTGATGAAGTAGCAACGAAACTAATTTCATGTTGGGGGTCACCACCACATGAGGAACTATATGAAAGGGTTGCAGCATGAGAGAAGAGGTGGGGAGGAGGGGAAAGACTGCCCTTTGGAGGGTACTAATAACCGAGCCAACGTTTCTTGATCCAGAAACCGTTTTTAAGGCTTTCAGTGAGCATTGCTAGTTTGGCCTCCTGGCTGTTCACAGCGCCTCCATGCTCCCCTTTCCAAATGAATCATGTCACAGGTTTTGTCCCTTTTGAGATATTCATCATATTCAGTCTGCTAAAGTTTATTCATGTAGATAGTGTGCCACTCCTCTCTCTCCAGATCTAGTGTCTGCTAATGGACTGTATGTCTCCTTTCAGATTTCTTTCTTAACATATCGAGTATATGTTGCATGTGTTTTTGTGTCCAGCACATAGTCAGCGTTCCATCGCTGTTAGTTCAATGGTGGTGATCCTTGACGCAGCATTGCGGCTCGTGGTTCTATACTTTTGAAAGACTAAGCTGCTCCGGCTCTCTTTCTAATATTGCAGCCGAAACAGCGATGGAATCAGCATGCCTCGACTCATTATCAATCAACTAAAATGGCTGGATCGAGTTGTGGATAGCAAGGTAGGTTTTCCGGATTCATCTGCCTCTTGGATCTAAAGAATGCATTTTCATACCTATGAACCAAATGCTTAGAATTTCCAGGTTATTTTCAGCATTTATCGTTTGAGAATCATGGGTGTTTGCCCTTAAACTTCCTCGAAATGAAGTCTGAGGAATGACTTAAAACAATGACGTAAAACTTGCAAGCTCAGTGCCACCCAGAGGATTGCAGCTCAGCGCCCCTGTACACCAGAGTAGCACTGCCCCTGGGGGTTTCCGAGAGGCTATAAATCTGCCCAGAAAGCCTACTGGGCAGCTGGGGGGCTTTTAACTACTGACCTTGTGGTTAGCAGCCCAATTCTCATTTGTTAAATAAACAAAATATTTGGGAAGAAATTCATTTGCTTTTCAAAGTCCAGAGATTTTGCAGATCTGTGGTTTGTACTTGAACATCTTAGGAAAGCTGAATCCGTTCAGAGCTCGAGGCCCAGTTTCTTTCAAGCGTTCTTAAAGTCATTCCGAGTTTTGGCAGTCATTCCAAGACTGAGTCTTTATTTGGAAGAATATGCATGTAGGCATTCCGTGTGAACTGTGCCATATGTTAGCTGTATTCTGGAGCAACTCACGAGCCCTGGGATTAGGAAGAGGAAATGAAATCAAGGATTAAGCAGACCTTTTAATAATAAAGGGACCCCAGTTGTGGTGCTGCTGGGTAAGCACTGGACTGTTAACTAGGTCAGTGGTTCAAAACTACCAGTCTCCACAGGAGAAAGATGGCTTTCTGCTCCTGTAAATATTTACAGCCTCAGGAACCTGTGTGTCGGGAACCTGTGAGTCAGAAATGACTCAATGGCAGTGGGTTGGAATTAGATAATACCCAATCCATCTTAATGTTTTTTCATGACTCTGACTAATTTACCATTCCATGTGTGAAATTTTCTGAGCTGTTTACCTCTGCATTTAGGTCATGAGCTGGCTTCTGTGTGTTCCTTGTTATACACGGAATAGTGTGAGCGCTCCATTTCAGTCGAAAGCCTTTCCCACCCTTCTGTGGTTCTCCCCCTGTGCAGGACCTCACCACCAAGATTATGCAGCTGATCAGTATTGCTCCAGTGCCCCTGCAGCACGACTTCATCACCAGCCTGCCTGAGGTCCTCGGGGATTCCCAGCATGCTGCTGTGGGCAAAGAACTCAGGTGTGTAGCACAGCCCACCCTCAGAGCCGCACCACCGCAGTCTGAAGAGAGTGGCAGAAAGGTCTTCTCCTCCGTACACAGAGAGGATGACCTGCCTGTGTGCACACACCACCTCTCTGACCCTGAGACCGGAAGAAGTGGGTGGGGCCCAGCTGCCCCTCCCAACAGTTCTGAGTCAGGGACACTGTAGGTGGATCTGGTGGAATGGGGGAGAAGTGTGGAACAGAACCTCAAATTTGTTTAACAAATCCAGACTTACTGAACTGGTTGGAACTGGAGGACTCACCCATGAGAACTGTGCTCTTTTAAAAATCCTGGCTAAGACACCACATGGTCAACAATTCACTTTAAAACCAGGGTGAGAAGGTAAAGGTAGGGAGCTAGATGGGTGGACATGGACCAGAAGTGATGAGCATGTTCCGCACTGTGAAGAGTAGAAGCTGTGTCATTGAAGAGTTGTATCGAAAGTATGCTGGGAGCCTTCACTGACAGCACTCCTTCTTGTAAGAGGATGGTACAGGCATTCCACGAGTAAGGCATAGGACTTGAGTTGTTTTTCTAAATATAAATGAGGGGGCACCCCCCCAAAAAAAGAAAAAAGTTCTGCTAGGCAGAGCTTTCATAGGATGCATTTTTCCCACTAGGCCAGCATCCAGCAACTTGCTCCGAGTTAGTGCACCCAGTGGTGTTGCCTGGGAAGGGTCTGTCTGGTCACAGTGAATTTTTTCATAAAAGCAGTTTCGCTTGAACCTTGTTTTTTGGGATGGCCGGTTTAAGAGCACAGCATGCAGCTGTGAAATACTGTTTTCTGCTAGGTAAAAATACCACAGAAACTGTTGTGATATTGGACACAGCTTACAAGGACAGAGTTAAAGGAAAAACTCAAGTGTACAGTGGTTTTCTCGTTTCAAAAAGATGAAATGTCAGTTGATGACAAACCTCGTTCTGGACGTCCATCAACTTCTCGAACAGACGAAAATCTCAACAAAACCTGTGCACTTGTGCTTGAAGACTGACAGTGAACCACTGAATTGCTGGGGAAGGTATCTGGACTATCTTGGAGCTCGGTTCAGCAAATTTTAACGGAAGATTTGGGAATAAGAAGGGTCGCTGTGAAATGTGTGCCTCTAGTTCTGACTGACCGGCAAAAAGAGCGTCAAGTGGAAACATGCCTTGCTTTGAAAGGACAGCTCCAAAGCGACCCAGACTTTTCCCCCCAAAGTCATTACTAGTGACGAGACATGATGCAAACATCAGGCCAGTGGAAGTCACCGTTGTCACCTCGCCCAAATAAAAGCTTGTCTGTGAAATCAAAGATCAAGACGATGCTCATCTGGTTTTTTTTGTGTGAGGTGGACAGTGCATTTGGAGCTTGTTCCACCAGGTCAGACTGTTAATCAAGCTTTCTATTTAGAGATTCTGAAAAAGTTGTGTAACAGTATGCAACAAAAAAGACCAGATTTTCAGTAGACGGGGGACTGGTTTTGCCACCACTATAGTGCACCTGCTTACATAGCCAGCTCCACATGCCAGTTTTTGGCAAAACAACAGTATACCTCTTTTGTCCCATGCACCTGACCTCACTCGGTGTGACTTCTTTTTTTCCTTGAGTGAAGGGGGACATGAAAGTACAGCTATGTGATGATGTAGAAGAGGTGAAGAAAAAAATGAGGGAGGTGCTGTCAGCCATCCAAACAGAGGAGTTTGAAAAATGTTTCCAAGAATGGAATCGCAGTTTTGACAAACGTATTAAGGGTAATGGAGAGTACTTTGAAGGTGATAAGGTTTTGTAAGGAAAAATTAAATACGTAGCTTTGAAAAAACAATTCCAGTTTTCTTGGGGTACCCCCTTGTATGCGTGTGTGTGTTTGAATAGAACCATCTCCTTTTAAATGGTAAACCTGTTTTGAACAGAAGCATAGAGTTAGGCATATAAATTTAGCCTGTGGTAAAACTTGAATACAATCCTTACCTTTCATTAGCTTTTTCTCCAACCCAGGGTACCTCAATCTTGGCTGCACATCAAACTCAATTATGGAGCTTATAAAAAAATCTGCATTCCTTTAGCCCTAGATGATTAATTCTAATGCACATCCCTGCATCAGACCCATTTCTGAGACCTGCTAATTATGCCATCAATGGTGGCAGGGGAAAGGGGGAGTAAATGTTAGGACAGTGGGTGAGATTATATCCCCGAGTTTATGTGTTCATGCAGCTTCTTAGTTTTCCTAGATGCAGTCAAAACAATTCCATTTGAAATGTACTTTTCTGTAGTTGTAGGCAAAGCTAACCTCCAGAAACAAACGGTGGATTCCTGTCCTTGTGCATTTGGATAGGCCTCTGCCTCTGGGTAGAACACTGACCGCCTGCTTTGTGTGATTACAGCTAGTCCTTCTGTGTAACAGGCTCCTGGGCTCCATCACTCAATCTCTCACATGGTGATGTGTCCTACATAGACTTGCGTACACCTGTCTTGTACTTATCATACTTTATTGCAGTTGTGTTGGAAGCTCCGGTGGCATAATAGTTGTGCATTGGACTGCGATCGGCATGGTCAGCAGTTCGAAACCACAGCAGCTTTTTAGAAGAAAAATTGGGCTTTCTATTCCCGTAAACAGTTACAGTCTTGAAAACACACAGGGGGTTGCGATGGGTCAGCACCGACCTGATGGCAGTGAGTTTAGTTTTTCTGGTTGGGTTATTGTATTTGTGTGGGGTCTCTTTTTTTCTGGATGGATCTGTATCACACTGTGCATAGTCTTTATCTCTGGGTAGTAAGGCTAGGGGGTGAAGGCTTCTTGTTTCCATCTTTGAGTTTTTTTTTAATATGTATATGATTTTTTTATAATCAGTGTAACATTTAGTAAAAATACAATTAGCATAATGTAATGGCTCCACATAAATGATAAGAATGTTTTTTGTTTTTTTTTTCAAGCACATTTGCACATTTATTTATTTATTTATTATTTATTTTTTTTGTTTAAGGTGACCAGATGTCCCGCTTTTGGCTGGGACAGTCCCTATCTTTTTTTTTTTTTTTTTTTTTTTTAACATTTTATTAGGGGCTCATACAACTGTTATCCCAATCCATACACACATCAATTGTGTAAAGCGCATTTGTACATTGTTTCTCAAAACATTTTCTCTCCATTTAAACCCCCGACATTAGGTCCTCATTTTTCCCCTCCCGCATGAGCCCTTGATGTTTATAAATGGGTATTTTGTCATATCTTGGATAAGAATGTTTTTAAATTGAACCAGGGACATATATAGATCATAGATGTATGGATTTTGATTTTACACAACTGTAGTGCTAATCCAAGAAACGTTAGTTCTTATGATGTGGCCCTACTCAATACTTGCCTTCATGAAGAGATCACTAAAGATATGGGTGCCAGAGCAAAGTGTGGTGAAGAAAGCAAATGGTGCCAGCTAGCACAAAGAAAAGGCTTGATTTAAACCGGGAAGCCATCTAAGTGAGGTGTCAGCTGAATCCACGTGGAAGCAGCACAACAACCTGTGTGATCCAAGGGGTGTAAATAACAAAATCCAAGACTGGAGGAGAGAACGGTATGCAAGCATACATTTTGAGCACCTGGTTTGCAGAAGGGTATATGAATGACAGCGAAAGCTCAAAGTCCCTTTATGGGGCCCACATGTGGACTAGGCCTTTAGTGAGTCCCCTCTGACCATTGACTAGGGATGCGACCAGCCTTGCTATCAGACAGCGCATTGGAAAGTAGATTCATACAGCTGCAGTTAGATTAGAATTGAACACCTCTTCATTTGTTCTCCCTTTTGACTCATTTTACATTTGTTCTAGTGTTTAATATTTCTACTTTCTTTTCAATTGAGGTTTTTCTTTGTCTTATTTTGTTACTGTTGTTGGTTTTTTGTTTATTTGCATGTTTCTCTGTATATGTAATCCAGAATAGGCAAATAAATCTATAGAGACAGTAACTGGATTAATAGTTTCTTCGGGTAATAACAGAGGAGTTGGGGGAAATGAGCTAATAATAATAAAAACATGCTCTAAAATTGTGGTGATGATTGCACAACTCTTCTTAATATGATTAACCATTGAATTTGTATTATATGTGAATTATAGTCCAGAAGACTGCTGAAAATAATAATAATTTAATGGTAAGCAAGTCTGTCGTTTTTCCCAAGCTCTAATGAGCAGTTTCCCTGAGTTGAATCTGCCTGTCTCTGTTTAAATGCTGCATCACTTTGCCCTCTTTCTCTTCCCTTCATAGTGACCTGCTCGGGGAGAAGACGTCCCTCACTGTCCCGATTTTGGATGTTCTCTCCAGCCTCCAGCTGGACCTGAAGCTCCTGTCCAAGGTAGGAGGACGTGGCTGTCCACATCCACGCTGGCTGTCTTGCCTCCCGGAGCCAGGCTCACTCACTCATGGCCTGTGGGAGAAACTGTACATGATGAAGTTTTACTTCGAAGCCATATCAAATGACATTTGACCGAGTTTTCTTTCTGGTTGGTTTCTTTTGCCGTACTATGGTAAACTTGCTCTTCTGTTTGTAAGCAGGACGTTTTCAGAGGACATATTTTTATATTGCCTGACTGTTTACAAACTATTCTCTACAACACCAGCAATGTTCATGCCTCCTTTTAGGCAAAAGGGAATGCAGGCTCTTATGTGACATGTGTGTCATGAATGAATGTATCGTCTGTCTCGCTTTGAAGAAGTTGAAACTTGTGCTTTGGGAAAAAATAAAAGGAGGTGTTTTTGACAAGCCAGTCAGGGTGCAGTATATAGCACCAACAAAACATACAACTTTCCTCTAGTTCAGGGGTCCTCACACTACGGCCCGTGGACCACATGCGGCCCACCGAGGACATTTATCCAGCCTGCTGGGTGTGTTTGCCACCACTGCCTGTCCTGCTTAGCAGCCGACTTGTCCAATGTGCATAGGAATTTGTTCATAGTTTTTTTAAACTATAGTCTGGCCCTCCAGTGGTCTGAGGGACAGTGAACTGGCCCCCTGTTAAAAAAGTTTGAGGACCCCTGCGCTAGTTCTTTAATGCTTTATCCCCCCCGACTATCATGACCCCAATTCTACCTTACTAATCCAGCTAGACTAGAACATGAACACAGTTACAGATAAGAGCTCGATACACAGGGAGTCCAGGACAGATAAACCCCTCAGGACCAGTAATGAGAGTAGCGATACCAGGAGGGTAGGGGGAAGGCAGGAGGAGAAGGAGGGAACCTATCACATTGATGGACATAACCCCCTCCCTAGGGGATGAATAACAGAAAAGTGGGTGAACGGAGACAGCAGTTGGTGTAAGACGTGGAAAAAATAATAACTTATAAATTATCAAGGACTCGTGGGAGGGAGGGTACGAGAGGGAGGAGAAAAAAATGAGCTGATTCCAAGGACTCAAGTAGAAAGAAAATGGTTTGAAAATGATAATGGCAGCATAGGTACAGATGTGCTTGACACAATGGATGGATGGATGATTGTGATAAGACCTGTAAGAGCCCACAATAAAATGATTTTTTTTAAAAAAAAAGGTGTTTTCTTCATTTCTTTCTGCATGAGAGAAGTGATTTTTCTAATGTTACCTAACTAGTTAGCTTACAGTATTGACATGAAATTATTTAAAGTTTTTTTAAACACTTATGAACATATAATTTGCATATCAGACAATTTAATAATTTAAACAGTTGTGCAATCACCACTGTCAATTTTAGAATGTTTTTCTTCCTTGTACTCATTATTAGCTCCCCATTCCCCCCTTCCCCTGCCATATCCCCAGGAAACAATCCAATTACTGTCTCAAAGATTGACCTATCCTGGATTTCATATAGAGGAAAATATACAAAAACAAAAGGGAAAAAACCCTGATAACAAAATAATAACAGAAAACTTCAATTAAAAAGATACTGAAATCAATAAAAACCAGAGCAAATTTAAAATGGGTCAAAATGGAGAACAAATGATACAATGTTAAATTTGAACTTAGCTACACCTACATTAACTAATGTCCACTTTCGAATGTACTCTGTCTGACAGTGAGGCTGTTCACATTCCTGGTCACTGGTCAGGGGGGCTCCACCAGAAGCTTAGTCCACGTGGGGGTGGGCCGGGCATGCATCTCGGCCTTTCACTGTCATCCATAGCCTTCTGCAAACTGACTGCCCGGAGCTTAAGCTCTCATACTGTTATTTACAGCCCTGGGATCTGACAGGCTGGAGTCCTTCTGTGTGGACGTCACTGTCAGCGTACTTAGATGGCTGCTTCGTTAGGGGCTCCTGCTTTTCGTTTGCAGGTTCGCCAGTTGGTGATGGGTAAGCTGTCGGCTGTCAAACTGGAAGATTTACCGGTGATCATCAAGTTCATCCTTCATGCCACAACAGCCACTGATGCAGTCCAGGTACCTTGTTCCCTCCCTTCAGACACCTGCAGGGCAGGGACTGGCAGTGGTGCCCTAGTGAAACACCGGCCAAACCTGCACAAAGATCCATCTGGGTAATTGAATTAAGTTAATGGGCTCTAATTGCTTTTGTCTGACTTGGATAATCCCTATTAATCCAGAGCTGACTCGGCATAGAATGAAACTGCTGTTTAGATCTGATGCTCTGTATTAACCACTATAGGTTATGGGTGCTACTTTTGTACAGTAACTCCAAGAGTTTCTGGGAGTCTGAAGAATGTGACATATTTGTTCCACCCATTTTCATAAGCTTTTTAAAACTGTCTTTTCGAGGTACCTGTCCAGCAGCATGTAATGTTTCCCCAGCTCTCAGGAGGTCGCTATGGGTCTGCTCTAGAGGGAATGGGCAGTGCCAGTCTGCCATGAACGAGGGTCTGCTCTAGAAGGAATGAGGAGAACACTCAGCTAATGCTGACTTTCCGCAGGTGATTTCTGAGCTGCGGGAGCAGTTGGATCTGCAGCACTGTGTTTTGCCATCACAGTTGCAGGCCTCTCAAAGCAAGTTGAAGAGTAAAGGACGGACCAGGTACAGAGCTCATCGACAGCGTCCCCCACCGTCTCCGAGACAGGGATGCTTTTGAACGTTTATCCCAGAGCCAGAACTGTGAGAGCCTCGTAACTCTGCCCGCACACCGTGGTAGCAAGATTACATTGCATATAGCACTATGCCGTTTTAAAAACCAAAGTACTGTATATGAGGGGCTGTAAAGCTTTTGTAACTGGTGATACCAGCCATGCAGTTCATCACTAAGGAACTGGGGATTGAGCCAGGTCAATGCAGTCTTTTGATCAGAAGAAAAATTAGTGCCCGGTAAGGGATTATTTTATGATTAGGAAGCAAGAGAAGGCAAGTCAGGACTGTGAGATGGACACTTAATGATTTTTCATCAAAATTAAAGAAAAAAGTATTTGCAATATTGCCCTTGTTTGATGAGAGGAGTGAGCAGGGACATTTTAGTGGCAGAGAGTGGAGCTCTGGTGAAGCGGCCGTGAGCATTTTTCTGCCGCAGCTTTGGTTAAGGTTCCCAGAATATCTCATAAGAAGCAGATGCTGCCATTCTCTGAACCCCCCGAAACTTGGCAAAAAAAATGCCTTGAGCCTCCCCCAAAAAACCAGTGACTGTGGGTTTTGCTTTTGGTTGGTCCACGTTTGCTTCGACTGGACTTCTACCTCTCGGGCACCACTGATGTGTCTTTGGGATCAGCCCCTGGAAAGGTATGTTTCGCTTCCTGTTACAGTTCTTCCAAGAAAGGCTCTAGGATTTTGATCCCACATATTAAAAATTTCTATCGGAAGCACTGCTCCCATCTGCAGCTCATCTGGGCGGGGAGATCTGCTCCACTTTCACCGGCAGTCCGACGTGTGTCAGCTGAACCACTGGCGCTGCCTCTGGGCGTGGCTCCTGTTCGGCTGTTGGTTCTTGGTCCTCTTCAATTAGAGCAGGAATAAAACTTTCCTCGCAAATTGATGTGGGTGGTCTACACTCCGGGCCTCATCTTCAGCATCATCTTATCCTTTCTTAAGACATCTGATTCACTTGTAAACTGCTGATTGGGCGTGGGGTGGGCGGGTATTGTCCTCATAACCATTTTGAAAAAGCCTCCATGGTTTCGCACTTCTCCCACTCAAGCATCACCATAACGGGTATTCTGGTCTCGATGACGGCAGAACCCATGTGGCTCTGAGAGGGGCTCTTTTCAAGCCGATGTCTTAGCCCTCTTACTGCCTCAAACCAGATCCCATGTAGACATACTATAACAAGTCGGTGTGGGGTTTTTATAGGGCCCCCCACCCCCGAAATTAAAATCCATTCATAGTTTTACATAACAAGCATTTTTTCATGAACTTTTTGAGGCCCCCTCATATGTTGTCTGAGCTAGTCAGTAAGTTAGTCACCATTTCACAGATGAGAGGGTGACCTGGTCGGAGCCACGGGGCCGTAAGCAAGGAGCCCAGATCTCACAGTTTCATCTTTGGGACATGGAAGAGTAACTTTGTCACCCCTCTGCTACCTGCAGTTCTCCAGGACATCAGGAAGGCAGTGCTCAGGACTGTGTCCTCCTCCTCTTCGATGTAATCAAGTCAGCTGTTAGATACGAAAAAACCACTGCAGAAGCCTGGATTAAGGTGGGTGGGATTTTCAGAACTCTGAATATGAGGAGAGAGTGCTTGATCTATACGTTTAAAACAACACCTTGGCTGTCGGGTGACACTGGCTCACATGACCCAGGTGTGTCAGAAGGACAGTGCTCCACAGGCTTTCCGAGGCTGAGACGTTTCAAAAGCAGAGCTCCCCGTCTGTCTCCCGAGGTGTCTTGGGGGGGCGTTTCAGCTGGCTGCCTTTGGACATGGTATTAAGTTTAACTAAAAGCAGGTTCAAACCAAAGTCTTGAAAGCCACTCAATGAGATGGACATGAAAGGGGAAGGGGGCCGATGCCCAGGTAGACTCATACCGCGGAGGGCTGCTTGCAGAAGAAGGCGTCGTGGTTCCACTGTAGCCTTCTAATCTTTCTTGACCGCTTTTTTTCCCCAGGCAATTGAAAACATCACCTCCGCATCCGACCACAAGGTAAGGTTCGAGCCCTGTGACTGTCAGGCTGCGCACGTTGACTAGCGACGCTGACTCACTTTCCTGCCCGCTTGCTTTCTCTCTTCCTTCCCGTCTTCCCTTCCGGGCCGTCTGTAGCTGTTCTCTAGCCACCATCTGTCTGGGGAAGGTAATCCCAGGCAGGACTCGCCATGTGGTGTGCCTTTGCGCATTTATTCTGCCAATAATATCAACCTAGAGATATCCTCAGAACGGAAAAGCAGCATGCCAAAGAATCATACTGACGTGCGGTTACAGAAATCCCGGCTCCCTTTCGTCCTCAGGGCTGCCTCCGTGATGAAGGCTCCCACTCCTCCGAGACGAGGTGTCTGCACGGCTGTGCTCAAGGCTCGAGGGGAGTCAGTCTTCCATGCTGCTCCCAGCCGCTAGCAGCCCCCGCGTTCCTTGGCCCAGTCTTTCCCTCCGTCTTCACATGGTTGCCTCTCCTCTCGGCCTGTCTCTGCGACTCTTCTCTCGCTCGGACACCAGGGATATTCTGTTAGGGCTCTCCCTGCTCCAGGATGACTCCTGAGAACTCGGTTGATTATTGCCTCAAAGACGAGTATCAGATTCCCCAAAAAGCATGGGTTAACTTGGGCCTACTTATCCAACTGTCATGAACATTAAAGATTTCAACTCACTGAAGACTCTGCTGTTGGGTAGGCTGGCACCTGGTTCTCTCCCAACCCCACAGCACTTTCCTACAGACTCAAAGCTGCTTCACATATGCATCCCTGATGGGGACGGTATCCAGTAAGCAGGGTAGGCACGGGCTTTCTTGAGCTTACCTACTCTACTGAGCTCTAGTGGATACTTTCCTGTGCTGCCTTGCTTCCCGGGTAACCCGCCCCTGGCAAGAATGCTGCTTCCAAATCAGGCCCCATCCATGGGTACAGGGGTTAGGGCTTGTGCGGTGGACACGGTTCAATGCATTGCCCCGCTGGCGGTGAGGTGCAAACACAGCCCCCGGGTAATGAGTCCCTCTCAGTATTGGCCTAATTGCCTTTCCTCCCCCTGTGGAGGGATCACCATCACGGCAGTCCATTTGTACTCGCGTTGTAAACCCACAGCCATCTGCTGTGGGCACTGAATCCGCCCCACGTGGTGGTGTGGGAATGCCAGGGGAGAGAACCCTTCTGTCCTGATTGGTCCCCTTCAAGAAGTGCTGTTTGGTTGGAATCTGCTCTGTTTTATGGGGTTTTTGGTTTTGGGGTTTTGATGTTTGAAGAAAACAATTGAAAAAAATCTTCATTTATTCTGTGTGTCTGGGGTGCAGGTAGGAGGTGGGTGTGTGTATCAAAATAAGCTAACACAACTGTGTTCTTTTCTGTGTAACACCTGGCCACCTGTATGTCAGTTTTTCAGCTCAGTAAGCATTGTGTAAATATTGTTGTCATTTTTCATGGCTGTGTTCTGTTCTGTTCTGTTCCAATGATTCTCAGTGTTGGTCTTGAAAAGAACGGGCCTTCTGTGATGCCCAAGTAGTTTATTTTCCTTTTTACCCTGCTTGGCTTCTTCACTTTTTAAAAGTGGGTAATGCAGACTACATGGGGAGACACGACCGGCAAGACTTAAGTGACGTTTCTCATCTCTTCTGGCCCGGCCCTCAGGGCTCCGTCATCATTTTTCCAGACAGTGTGGATTCACAGTGTATGTGCACATGTGTGTGCACATGTGTGTGTAGACCCGCTCCCTCCTTAGACCTGCAGAGGTTTCTTACAAAAGTACTCTCTTACTATAATCATGGTTTTGCAGGTTAGCTGTATTTTTCTCTTCGTTTCACAATATGGCCTTCATGCCTTTTACCTACCAGAATATGTAGACCAAGCTCTCATTCCAACAGTTACTCTCACAATTTATTTAACTTCTCCAATCGTGAGGGGTGTCTGTGGTCTCTCCAACCTTTTACGAGGTAATTTTCTTAGTAAGAATGAAAATACATACTACATTATCAGGCAGATTAATCTTGCTTAAACTAAATGCGAACATATTAAAAATTATGTCCACAGTAACGACACTTTCACTTTGTACTCCTGAGTGAGAGAGAACAGTGGTTAACACTTGGGGCACTTTGGGTTTGTTTTTGTTGTTTTTTTGAAAAATATTTCTGAGGGTTTTTTGCAGGAGACAGAGTATTTGTATATGAAGTGACTTCAAAAAGTTCATGGAAAACAAAATAAAAAGATAATGGGGTTTTATGACAAGCTTTTTGAAGAACCTGTGAGTTCACACATGCTGTGTGTGTGTGTGTGTGTGTGTGTGTGTGTGTGTGAGAGAGAGACACTGTTCCCATGGGAGTTGTGCAATGAGTATCTTTCATTCTGTTTCAAAGAGAAAAAATTGAAAGCAGCTGTTTGGTTGCGTAAATAGACTGATTAATTCATCATTTTCTCTGTTGTTGCCTATTTATCGATCATAGATTTTTGACATGGTGATGCTTCTCATCATCTATGGCACCAGCCCTCAGACAAAGAAGTCCGTTGAAAGGGTGCTAAGAAACAAACTTCGCTCCGGCTCCATTCAAGAACAGCTGCTAAAGAACACGTTCTGTACTCATGCTCTGGTGAGTATCAGAACCAGACACTGTTGGGCTGCAGCTACCGCGAGGACATTTTCTCCAGAACCCTAGTGGGCCTCTCCACCTCTCAGCACCACCTTACCTGGCTGTTGCTCTGTGGCAGGGAACTCAGTTTATTTCTAAACCTGGGAGGATGATTACCGCCCTTCATTGAGACATTGTGATGTTATAAACCCGTCTAAAACTATGCAAGGTTTTGTTTTGCTTTTATTAACAAAAAGGCCACAAATTGGTGTATGTTGAACTCATTTGACCCAAACTTTTTTTTTCTTTCTCTTTTTCTTTAATGAACTCTTTAAACTCAGGCCTTCTCGATAACAAACTTGTGTACCTTGCTTTTTGAATCTTCAGTGGAAGACTCCACCCCCATCAACTTTCTGTCCCAACGACCAGTGACTGGGTTCCTCTGTGCTGACTTGGTTCCCTTTCAGGATTGTTGCTCAGCAGTTGGAATCATGTTAGTTTGACCGCGTGATGCAAGTCCATTGAGACTCTGAATCTTTGCTTTGCCATTGTCATTTTAGTTGTCCAGCTCAGACACACTTGTCTTCGGTGTCTTCTAGGTACTTTAGAAAATGGGGAAAATACTGAACTCGAAGGAACGCCAGCAGAAACCAGTCTGGGTGTGTCGAGCCCTCACTGTGCGGCCATCCCGCCCCCCCCGCCCCCCAACCCCGTTCTTGAAATTAAAACCGCTGGTGCTGGCATTTTGTCAGTCGGGCGTAGTATCTGGACCAGGTGACTATTCCGGACGCTGTCAGTGTAGACTTTTCTTAGATAACTGGATGTTCTAGCAGTTTGGGGCATGACTTAGGAACTAAGGATACACATAGTTGGGTCTTAAGATTTTATATTTAGGAATGGGTTTAATCCTCTTGTTTGTAAGTCCTTTCTGTGTTTCCGTCTGGCAATGATATCTGTTTTGTGCTGTGATTCCTCAGAGAGCAGAAACCATGCATAATTTTTATTGCATTTTCCCTAATAGAGCGTTAGATCCTCTTCAGTACATAGAATGAGATTTATTATTATTTATTTACTGTGATACCAATAAAGGAGCTAACCGTAACAACTCGCCATTTATCCTGGATCGAAAAGCGGTGCTGCTATGAGCCACTGCGAGTTTGCTGCTATGACCTTCACCTTGTCTTCTTGCCCACACGCTGAATTCCAGTGATCCTGAATGGGATCAGAATGGGAGTGAACTATTCTTTTTTTTTTTTTTTGGTGGGGGGGAGTGAACTATTCTGAGAAAAGTAAAGATTAAGGTAACTCGTCAGTGCTCTACTGTACAGGCTGCCCCCATGACGACGCCTTTTCTCTCTCTCCTGCCCTCACAGGTCCTGAAGGACGTTTGTCCGTCCGTCCTGTCTCTGGCACAGAGCCTGTTGCGTTCCCGGGAGCAGGGTGTGAATTCCTTTGGCAGTCTCCTCTACAAGCATGCCTTCACGACTTTTGACGCTTACCACCAGCAGGTGCGTTACCGTGTGTGTCTGGGCAAACATTTCTTTGTGGGAAAGGAAAGAAATAGAATCCCAAATGAACTGCATGCTCTCTGAAGTGAAGTCTTTGTTGGTCGGAGGGCATGGGAGTGGAAGGAGCTCTGAACAGAGGCTGTGGAAAGCCCAGCCGCAGTTCCAACCTCCACAAAGCGGACTGAACAGGAGGGCTGAGCTCTGTGGTCCAAGCCCTGGCATCCTCAGAATCTGAAGGCTGGATCGTCAGCTGGTTCGACAGTACATGAATGTCGACTGGTACATTTAGCTACAGGTAATCAACTTCCAGCTGATCCTAGAATTCTCTGGGGAAGTGCGGTGGGAATGAAAATAAGGAGAAAGGCCGAGAGCCTGAGCCTGAGCTCGAGTCCAGGAGATGTGGGCATCTAGAGGGCTGACTGGACACGAGTAAGGAGCCGTTGTCTTCTTTTGTTTTGAACACTATCTGCCATTAACAATGACGGCACCATGCACCATAGCGGAGCTCACAGAACAGCGGCCCAGCTGGCACGAGCTGGCTGCTGCCGGTGAGAGAAGCTCCGTGGCTCTGGGGAGCGGGAGTGGAAAGGAAAGGGAGAGATTTCTCAGCCCTTTTAATGTCGGAAGAGGGCGCATTAGCTTGGAAACCTGGCAATCTAACAGTGTATTTTGGTTTTTCCCCAAAAATGGGGGATGCTGCCCCCTAAGGGGTGCTGCAAAAGCAGATGCCTCCGCGTTATCCTTGGAATGGGCTGCAGTGCAAAAGCTTTTACTTGCCAGAGCACACAGTCACTCAGGAAGACTGCCCCCCCACCCCACCCCACTGATTTGTAGGCCAAATCAGTTTGGAAACCTATGGGACAGGGACTGTACAGAGAAACCTTTAAAATGCCTGCCTTCTTAGTGCTCTCATCTCAAGACATTTCAACAGCGTCTTCAGTGCAACCACAGTTTAACCCGATGGGAACAGAAGGAGCCCAGTCAGGACTGCAGGCGAGAGAGTGCTCGCTGATAAACAATGGGGAATGAGTCCCGACGGGGTGGGTCCTGTGACTGAAGCCCACAGGACTGAAAACGAGGCAGCAGAATTCGATGGGACCAACAGGAGACTCTGGAATGGCCGCAGGCCCAAACCTCAGTGCTGGCCAGACCCCTTTTGGCTTTCCACCACCGTGTGGCCTCTTTCCTCCGCAGCAAGTGGTGGCCGCTCTGGTGACCCATGTCTGCAGTGGAAACCATGCAGAGGTCGATGCTGCCTTGGACGTCCTCCTCGAGTTGGCTGCGCTCAACCTGGCTGCTGTGCGGCTGAATGCTGTCTTTGTTAAGGTACCGCTCCCTCGCGCCAGGCCTAGTGGCTGCGTCAGAGAGAAGCTGCTGGTAGCTGGTAGCCAGCAGTCACTTGCTTGGTTCTCTTTACATATTGAACACTAATTGGGGGTGGGGGTGGGTGGGTAGGAAGGAAGTTAGGCAATGGGAAAATACCGTATAAAAGAACTCATCTACTATGCATTCATTCAGCCAGCACTTCTGCATACCTAATAGGGGTCAGAAATGGAGCCTGATTCTTGAAGGGTGGAAAATGATTTGACCGGAGAGAGTAGAGGAAGTTCACTATAGACCAGCGGTTCTCAACCTTCCTCATGCGGCGACCCTTTAATACAGTTCCTCACGTGGTGGTGACCCCCCCCAACCATCACATTATTTTCGTTGCTACTTCATAACTACTATCATTTTGCTACTGTTAAGAATTAGGTGACCCCTGTGACAGGGTCGTTCAACCCCCAAAGGGGTCACGACCCACAGGTTGAGAACCGCTGCTGTAGACAGAAGGTAATAAGAGTAGAGGGCTGGCACAGAGCTTAGCGCGCTGGGGATAATAGGGTCTTTGGAGAGGGTTGGTGGGAGGTGAAGCTGTTAGGAGAGAGGGCAGGGCTAGAATGTGAAGGGTCTCAAGGCAATGATTGTGGAAAATAATATTGTTTTAAGTAAAAATGTACACAGACAATTAGATTCTCATTAGAAAATTCATGCCCAAATTGTTTTGTGACATTGATTAAAATCCCCTGAGCCCTGGTGTCATAGTGCTTACGCATTGGGCTGCTAACCGAAAAGTCGGCGGTTCAAAACCATCAGTGGCTCTACGGGAGAGAAGTGAGGTTTTCTACTCCTGTAAAGAGTTATATCCTTGGAAACCCACAGGCACAGTGCTACCCTGTCCTCTGGGACCGCCGCATGTCAGCTTGAGCTTGGTGGCAGTGATCACCATGTGCCAGCCTCTTGCCATCTCCACTCCACTTGCCCTGTTCCAGGAGCCCTGGTGGCTCCAGCAAGCGAGGCAGATTTTGAGAGAGGAGCAAAAAGCTTCCAAGATCTCGGAAGTTCTACATATGCTGAGGTTCAAGGGGGCAGGCTGGACGGACAAAATACCTATGGAAAGAAAATGAGAAAAGTAGGGATAATAATGGGAACTGCAAGGATGTTGCATGATGGGTATCCAGGAAAGAGTGAGCTTCAAGAATCATAGGAGATTTGTCTATAGGGCTGGCTTCTCTAAAGGATGAAACTAGAGACGAGCCGTTGGCTTTTAGCACAATGATGCCCTGTAGCATCATTTAATTAAATCAGAAAGCAGAGACTTCAGGCCTAGACTCATTGTCAAAAAACCCGAAGGGTGAGGGGGCGGGTGCTGAAGAAGGAGAGAAACCAGGGTGGATTGAGGGAGAAGCGGATGGGAAGGAAGGTGTTGCTTGGAGGGGAGGTGTGGGATTCTAAGAGGTCGTCAACACGTACTGGGACTGCAGTTCAGGGCATAGTTCCTGGCAGGTTTCTTCCAAACAAAGCATGCATAGACTTGCTAATGTCATCGGATGATTCTTGGAGTCACACACTTGGCTCAGGTCTTGTTAGGGTGCCTTCAAAAAAATGATCTTGTTAAACAGTGTTTTCCAAGGGGATTTACTGGGTGCCAGTTGCTGACCCTTTTTGGAGATTCCCAAGGGGGTATTCTTGATAGGTTTTCTCAAAGGACACAGAGCGATCATGAGGGTTTGTGATGATGTTTTAAGAAAAACGGAAATAGGTCAGGAACACTGTGCAGGAACTGAGGCCCGCCATGACCGCTGTGAAGGCTGCCCTGGGGGAATTTCTCTGTGAAACCTTGCTCTGTCCACCCTGCGGCCCTGATCTTGCCCCAAACCACAGGAAAATATTGAGAAATCATAGCTTGACATTTTGATATTTTTGTTTCTATGGTTTGGTAGCAACTTTTTTACTTACCCTAGTATGTGGACTAAAAAAAGAAATGGGAAAACAAAATTTTAATTGTTTATAAAAGTCTTTTCTATACCTTACTTCATTCTCCAAAAGCTGTCCGTTCCCCTAAAGATGTACAGTCTCAGAACCCGTATGGGGCAGTTCTGCTGTGTTCTGAAGTGGCTGAGTTGCAATAGACTCTAATTAACATCACTCTCCATATCAGAGTAGAGCCAGCAGGCTCAGAGACTCTAAGTACTTTTCCCACGGTCAAAAATAGTCTCCTTGTGACTCCAGGTCCATAGAGGAAGGTTAAGTAACCCATGGAATCCAATTCCCTTGAGGAACTATTGCTGTTCTAGACAAAAGGGCGGGCGAGCTGGGAAACATGACTGACTCAGGGAGGAGCGGGGTGGTGCCTGGCTGGGCCATTCAGATAGAGAGGTGCAGGAGCCCTCAGCCTGCGTCCTGAAGCCCAGAACAAAGCTGTCGGGTGTGTGTGTGCCTTACTTACACAGGTTTTGCTCTGTTGATTTAAAAGGGCTAAGAAATGTTCCTTGCTAACCTCATTGTTGGCATATCTTCTGACAGGGCATTTTAGATTATCTGGATAATCTGTCACCTCCACAAATACGAAAACTCTTCCAAATCCTGAGCACCCTGGCCCTCGGCAAAGACCAGGAAGCTGGCAGCCACATCCAGGTAAGAGCAGTGCATTGAGGAGAAGCCACTTAATCCCTTTATTTGGGAGCTCACGGGACAAGGTTAGTGTCCTAATGCACTAACCTTGTCCCGTGAGCTCCCAAGTGAGGGGATTAAGTGTGTCACATGCACTCAGATGCTTGCTTGGTGTCTAAAACTATTTTTGTCCATAGGGGCTTGATGTATTAGGACAGAGGTGGGTCTGTAAATCAACTGACCTTGAAACTGAGTAAGAAAACCCAAGACTGGGTGTTGTGGCTCTATCCTCTGCTGGAGCCTGGCTCCGGAACGAATGGATGACCGGGCTAGAATCAGGACGCCGGCTTTGGGTGTCTCTAGTGCCACCCTGTGGCAGTAATGCATTTTGGACTGTCACTTCCGTTCTCTCTGTTTCGGCTTCTCTGCAAGGAGCCTGGTGTGGATGTGCTAGGCAGTGGGCTGGTAGCCTGGTGTGGATGTGCTAGGCGGTGGGCTGGTAGCCTGGTGTGGATGTGCTAGGCGG